GGTAGGCCAAGAAAAAATTCTTCTGAAATATATTGGATAGGAAGACAAAAAACCATATTTCTTACTCTTAAAATAGGGTGAACACCCCTAACTACGACCACTCTTTTGGTGCGGTTATATGTATAGCAAGAGCTCGTAGACTATGGTACCCCATTTTTATTTTTTATTTTTTTGATATAATTCCTTCATTCACCACTGGTGTGTTATTCAAAAAAATAGTAAAAATAATTATCACAATAGTGATAAAAATATTTATAAATATAAAAAAATATCAACAAAAGTGATAAATCACTCAAAAAATTGGTATTTGTTTTGTACTAGATAAAAGTAGTAAAATAATTACCACAAATGTGGTAAAAATATCCGTAATAATGGTACAAAACTACAAATACCTACAAAAATAGTAAATCATCTACAAAAGTGATAAATTTTTTTATTGTAAAATAACCCATAAAAATTATAAAAAATGCCCATTAAAGTAGTAAAAATTGGAGGTACAAATTTTTTTCGATACCGTAGTCAAGTCCAAATGGTGTAGTAGATAAATGAGCAATGTTATATAGACTTAAAAACTTGATTTGATGATATAATTATTATATTTGTTATTGATTTAACTATAGATCTCAATATTTATGAAGAACCACTATTTATTTAATAATAGCAATTTATCAAGTCAAGTTTTTAAATTATTTTTTTCAGTTTATTTATTATTTTTCATAATAAAAGGGAGATGCCTTCATTTATTACACTTTTTTTGACTAGATGCAATTTTTTTTTCTCTTTTTTGTCTTTCAATAATATTATTTTTATTCGAAACTAATTCAATTATCTAAAAGGCGATGTAATGAGGATTCGATTTTAAGAGATACCTTACCAAAATTATAAATTTTGTAAGTTAAGTTTGAGATATTAATATTTGAAATTATTTACAAGAAAAAGAAAATGGGATTGATTCTAACGGTATTGAAGGAGATACCCAAAATTTACAAATTTTGTAAGGGGAGATATAAGTATTGCTAGTTCATTTATAAAAATAAATATTGAGATTGATTCTAAAAAATTCATAACTTTTTTTTAGGGTTTAAATTATAACTTTTTAGAGATTAATTATAATTTTTTAGAGTACTTGAGATCGATACTAAATGCTAAGAATATCGATTACACAAACCCAAAAAATTATAAATGAGCAAAAAAATTTGTACAAAAAATCTTCAAAAAATTTACAAGGCAGTATCCTCCTTTTTTTGTTACAATAAACAAAAAAAACTTGGAGGGCAAATCACACGACGAAGTTTGCCAGTACCCCACTCTCACTCGAATAAATTGCTCATTGTCCAATACAATCCATTTCTATTGTATCGGGGGTAAAGTAGTCTTTTTACCCACTAATATGGACCGCACACCCTGGACACTATCCCCTTAATTTTTCCTAGGGCTACAATTTAGACGGACCAACACGAATTCAACTTAAGCCCAACGCAACTCGAATATTAAAATCGGATTGAACCTGATTTAATATTCGGGTTGAACTCAAATATAAATATATTTGTGCTTTGCTTATGTTAATGTAATTTTATTATTATGCCTTTATGTTAAAAATTGAACTTTGGCTTTGGTTTTATTATCTCAAACATTGAATTATTAATATTATAGTTTTTATTTTAAAAACTTGATTGAAATTGTTGGTTGTTAATATATGTGAATATTATGTAATATATATACTAAGTTTAGGACAATAAGCCTTTTTCGAGCTTGAACAAACTCAATCTGAATTAAACCTGAAAATCAACTTGAATCTAGCCCATTTTCAGCCCGAATTAAGTAACCCCGAATGTGCCCGAATTAAACTCAGGTAGTATTCGGGTTAAGTATATCGGGTTAGGGTTGAAAATTATATATCTAGGATTGAGATATGATTGACTTCTCAACCCATCCAAGTTACGCCCCTAATTTTTAGGGGTGATCTAATAGTTGAGTATGTCATTTGATAATCATAAGTATCAGGTTCAATTCATTCCCAAAATTCTTAAGGGCTAGCCACTTTTCTCACTTTGGGAATATACTTTAGACTAGTTCAAGTCACGATGGTCAATTGATAAATTCGAGAGAATAATTGACGTAAATCTAGACACCTTGTAATAAAAAAATAACATTGAATTTAATATCACACATGAAAGTACAATTCATATTTCAAAAAATATATTTCATAACAATAATAATAAATTGATAAATAAATTTCAAAGTATAATAATAAAGTAAGAAACTAATAAAAATAATATAGAAGAAAAACTAATTCATCTTTTTATTTTTAATACCAAGTGAAATTAAAAAAATATTAATACTATTAGAACATAATTTGTGAATAAAATTTAATAACTAAATTAATAGTGAAATACATCAAATATTAAAACTCACCGACAATGCAATGGTCCGAATCATTACGCAATGACATTGCTAAAAGGAAATACCATCCGACAGTGGAGCTTATGAGTACCATTAGAGAACGGAAGGCGTGTTGCCTATTAGGGTGTCGATTAAATTGCCTTGAGCAATTAAAGCATTCCGGCGTTGCCTTGAGGTTATCAGACTTCCCCAAATGAAGATGGCCCTCGGTGGGAACTCAGTGCTCTTGCGGTGGACGTCAGATTTTTTACTTTGTTTCCTATACAAATCAAGAGTTTTTAACAAGACTGTTCATTGGATGACATGACAGCTGCAGCAGCTGCAGTGATGACTAATTCACTTGCTGCAAATTGAGTCAATTGTCCCTTTAAAGAGTTCATGAATTTACTTGTTTTTGACTGTTATCATTACTTTCCTATATGAATAAAATTTTACACTCTTTCTATAAAAAAATAAAAAAAATTCGATACAACTTGAATCGAATACAAAATTAATGGGTCAGACATAAAATTAAACAGATCAATAGATAAAAATAATCAACACGTTTAAACACAAAAAAAAAAATCATATCAAGTTCATATCAATTTGATTTTGATTTGATTAATCCGTATATTTTAAACGGATTAACATGATTCGGACACAAATCTAACCTAACTCATTATAAACTCGTTTATGACAGTATAATTTGTCTATTATATATGACTGATGTGATCTTAACATTATTATTTATTAATTATTACTTTTATTATGGTAATTGATTGTATAGTTCTTAACATTATTATAACATTATAATAGTATAATTTTAATTTTAATTTTTGGGTTAAACGTTGAATGTATTTTAGTTAATTTCATTGATGTTATATGATATATTATTAATTAAAAAATTATTTAAAATTTTGAATGAATGATTGAATAGTGTATTAATAGTAATGAACAGGTGTAGAAATATATTATATATGTTAAACATGTCATATTATATGTGTTAACCTAAAAACAGTCCGTTTATTAAATATGTTAAACAGATTGGATTCAAATAACCCGTTTAATAGTCAAATTAAATTAATATTTATATATTTCAACGTGATTATTAAACATGTCAAATTTATATTTTAAAATTTTTTACATAAACTCGAAATTACTAAATATCTGTTATTTTACATAATTTTTTTTTTCATAATATCTATCGTTTTATGAATTTAAAGTATAATAAATATACTTTTTTAAAATTTATTCTTATTTTTATTTAATAATTTCTTTAATTCACGTAAAAAAAACTTTAAACGATCGATAACTTAACACAAAATAATCCTAACACCCCTCGTCTATATGCACCCTATCCAATTCGCTTTGCCAACCAGTGAATAAGTACGTGCTGAAAAAGTTTGTCCGACGGCGTGCTGCTTCGGATTCTCTTTTTTGCTTTCTTTCTTTAAGCAACACGACAACACACACTCTCTACTCACCAAATTGAATGCACACACCGGCCACTTTCCACTAACATACCCTCCAAGTTCCTTGAAATTACCATTTCAACCTCCACTCGCACATCTAAAACGGCCATAGAATAAGCTCAAACTGTAACGCCATCAACTCCACGCCTTGTCTTCCTCCAAAACCCTAAACTAAATTCCTCCAAAATGGAGCAGAAAGAGGAAGACAATCACTTTACTAAAGCCACATTGCGAAGCGAATCAACAATGAAGAAGTGCTCCAGCTCGATGACGAGATCCCCGACACTCTCTTATTCTGCTCCAGCCAAAATCGAAGACACCGTATTGACATCGAGCTCGGATGCATTGGCTCTCTCATTGCATGTAATTGGCGACCATGGCGTCGAAGAGCCTGTGCCGTTGAAAATCTTTGACTTTGCTTTGTCCTCCGAGAAAATCTCTTTGCGAAGATCCCCTAGATTCACTGCAAACAAGTACAAAAGCGCTTCCATTGACTTAAAAGCACTCCCGGAAAAGTGTTTAGGCAGATCGCCGAGTTTATCGGCGGCTGAGGGTGACTGTAGAAGTGTAAATTCAAGGACATCGCGTTCAGATGAGATGAGGATGCGTTTGGGAAAGTCTGATTCGGAAATGTTGGACAAAAAGTGCTTGAAAGGGTCACTCAAATCAACGACGGAGAAGAGCTCAAGCTTAAGAAGATACCGGAGACACTCTTATTCTGAGGACACTGTCGTGAAATCTTCAACGAGAAAAAGAAAATTCAATTCGGATGCATTGGCTCTCTCATTGCATGTAATTGGCGACACTGGCGTCGACGAGCCTGTGCCGTTGAAAATATTTGACCCTGTTTTATCAGCCGAAAAAAACTCTTTACAACGATCTTCAAGATCCACAACAAATAAGTTTAAAAGAGCTTATGATCGAAGTCAAAACTCAATTGACCAAAAAGCAATTCCGGTTCCGGAAAAGAGCTTACGTAGGTCGCCGAAATTATCGGTGGCTGAGAGTGATGGGAGAAGTGAAATTTCGGGGACATCTGGTGCTGCATTGGTGGATAGGTTGATGGAATGGTTGAATTCTGCTGAGAAACGGTGTCATTCTGAGGAGGAGGAGGAGAAGGAGGAGAGGGAGATCTCTTGGAGAGTGGTGGGGCAGAAGTGTTTGAAATCAAGAACACTGCCGGCAACTGTGGCTGGCCATGGATCTGCATTGTGTGATTCGGAGGATGAACAACCTTCAAGTGGTTCGGAGATGTTGGATAAAATGACTTCGGATTCAAAAGAAGATGAAAATGGGAATTTCAACGGTGAATTGTTTGATTCGCCTGAACCAGCATCAAAGAAACAATCTGTGGAGGAGATGAAAAGCCCTTCTGGAGAAAGCGACTTGTATTTAGGTGAAAACTGCTTAAGACCTCGACAAATATCTTTTCGGTCATCTGAGAATGAAGATTTTAATGAAAAGTCTACTTTGATTGGAAAACCTGATGCTTTGGATGAGAAAAAGGAAGTGGCAAAGACAGAGACTACTTTCGGGAACAATGGTTTGGATATGTTCAGTGAAAAGTGCTTAAGATCTCGAAAAATACCATTCTTCGTTGTTGGGGGTCAAAATGAAACAAAATCTTCTTCGACTGAATCGCCTGTTTTGGGGGATAAACAGTTACCAACAAGGAGTAAGACTTCTGCTTTGTCCGCGAAGAAGGAGAAGAATGGAAGGAAAAGCACATCGATCTTTATCGGCGAGCCAGTTCCTGATGAGGAAGCTCGAGAAAGGTGGCGTTGGCGTTATGAATTAAAGGTGCATGCCAGTTTTTGTTTTGGTTCTAATGCATTTAGATTTGCATTTCATTACTTGCCATCAATTTGGTAATGAGCTGTTTTGTGCATCTAGAGCTGTTTCTGCGACGCATTTTTAAAATTTTATTTAAAAAACCAGAGCCACTTTGAAATTATTGCCAAAGAATGAGTGAGTCATGTTTTGGCAGTAACTCTAATGAATGGCCAGATTTCAGTATACTAAGTTAAGATATTCGCTTGATTATTGATCATAGTGGTTTTTCAATAAGCTGAATTCTATCTGATATGTTCACAATCTCCTAACCTAATATGTTTTTTACAATCAAGTTTAAGAAACAAATTCAACATATGGAAGGCAAAACAATTGCATGCTTTAAACCAAAAACTTCAAACATGATCCCTCAGCCGTTGACCAAACATCCATATGGCGTCGAGCTAATCAGTTGATTATCGGTAATCCAAAACGTAATAGAGTTTGTGATCTTAGAAAATTAAGGGGCTTTCTGACAGATTGTAGAGCACAAGCTAGCCGTAAATATAGTACTATTTAATACACAATTACACATGACAGCCAATTATGTAACCAATAGTAAGTAATATAACTGAGAGTAAAACCAAAGGTTTACCATGTCAGAAATGTTCACCATCATCATTTCAAATTTTCAGAAAACAGGGCCTTAGTGTCCATATGAGAAATTTGGAAACAATGAGGTATTGAAATACCTCTGATAAATCAGAGAACTGCTTGTTTGCTACTGATTTTGCAATCCATCTGCCACTCAACCTATTAGAACTACAACAACAGTATAATTAGCAATTATCAAACTTAAATTACCACAAAATTTCCCTATTTGGGGGAAACCTTCAGACTCAATGTAGCACAACCGATTATCTCAAGTTGGTCTTCCTCAAATCAAATACCCATTGTATCAGATAGAAAGGAATTTTCCAGACCCATGTTGAACAGGTGAGAATAAGAGTGTGACTCAAGTGTTCAGGTATTATTTGGAAATTGGGTGCTGTGGCCAATTAAGGTAAAGAGAGAGAATGCCTGAGTGGTTGATTGATGTAATTTGTTTTGGTGTTTCTTTTTAGCTTTCCTCTTCCTTCCCTTTGTTGTATGTTCCATATTTGGGTGGATTTCTTGTCCAGTAAATTGTATTTTCTACTACATAATTAAGTTGGCTGAGCTCCATTTCCTTGTAAAGAGATCGTGATCTAGGTGAACCTCGGAGGCGATGGCTACTGGCCAGTGGCCACACTGAATGAGAGAGTCCCAAGTCTTTGGTATGATCTTCCTTTTCTTCAAAGAGGGAATGATTTAGGGTTAGTAATGGTCAAACCTTCGGAATTGTACTTGGAACAGAAAAAGGAAAGGAGAAAGAAGAAAAGAGAGGAGAGGAAAATGAGTATCTGTATAACGGTTCTGTGAATTTCTATTTGCATTGCATGAGATGGTGATTGGCATGTTCTCATTGATTCAAATTTGTTTAAATGTAGTCATTTTTGCACATTACATGACCTTAGTTAATAAAAGGTTTGCTGAAGTTGTGTTTGCCAAATATGTCTTTACTTGAAGTCATGTTCGGCAACCACAACTTCATGATCTTTTTTATCTTTTTAATTTATTTCGTTTTTGAATGAAGTTTTTGTCCAAAATCCTGAAGTAAGCTGTGGTTTGTTCATGACGTCAATGAAACTCATGTTTGCCAATCATGACTCACTCTGGTTTTGGCAGTAGACATTGGCATTTTAATTTTTTTCGATTGTGCAGAGTCAAAGATCTAAAGGTCAAAGCTGGATATTAAAGTGAGTGATACTCTATGAACTTGTCTCTTTGGTGGTAACCAAGTGTGGCCCTTTTCCCCTAAGAAGCATGGACACTGATATAGATATGGGACACGGATACGACACGACACGGACATGCCGACACGAAATTTTTCAAAAAAGTAGGACACAGACACGTTAGGGATATGTTAAATAATATGTATTTTATATATATATTTATATAAAATCATGTGATAAAATAAAAATATTATTATAATAATCTTTTAATTCATTATTTTCCTAATTCTAAAAATTTACATCATGATAGCATTGCATGAAAAGTATAATATAAGATATACTGATACACATTCAACATTAACATCCATAATTCAATAATCAATGACTTTTACAACTTTTACTTTAAAAAATATTCCATTTCGTAATACTAATTTTCATCAAATTACAAGAGCTCCAATTTTGTAAACCCATTTTTTCTCACATTACTTTCATATTAAAAGACTATTCCATTTGTATATAAGTTCGTATTCATATCCAAAATTATATTAAATTCATGTCCTATGTTCAATGTAATGATTATAACTTCTTTTATATTATGATTGTGACTCATATCCCTTTAAAATTATAAAAATAACTCTTAATTATAAAATTATCTGAAAAATTCTCAAAAAAATTGAAAATAAATCTCAAAACGTGTCCCCCGTGTCCCAACGTGTCAACCACGTGTCCCAACGTATCCAAACCATGTGCTAAGACAAATTTAATAATAAAAAAACCGGACACTTATTTTAACGTGTCCGAGCGTGTCCGTGTCTCAGACGTGTCTGTGCTTCCTAGCTTTTCCCTTTTGTGCTTCACAAATTTTCTAAGTTTCTGCTCTTAATCTTGTTTGCTCGTTGTTGCAGTGCTGATGAAGAGGATGAAACAATTTTAAATGTGGAATGCCATTACACTCAGGCCAATGTTGATGGTTCTATCTTCAGTCTTGATGATTGTGCCTATATAAGGGTAACTCTGCTTTATTATTTTAAGTTTCTGTAGAGCGCACAGGTCATAGCTGTTCTTCAATTGTTTTGTTTTAGCAGTTTGTGATGTTACATTGCTGACTTTGTACATCTTGAAAGAGTATAATCTTCTGAAGTGTTTTAAGTAATTTGAAATCATGCTCTCATATGACCAAGATTATTGAATAGAAGCTTCTTGTGGGTGCCCCACTGTTTAAATACTATGATCAATTCTGGAATACTATTGCCTTTTATTTCAATTCTGCTCTAGGTTTTGTTGCGCGTGAATCTACATGTCATTGTGGCTTCATGATTGCATTAGGTAATGTTATTGAGCAATACTCTTTTTTGATCAGATTTTGGATGTATATTGGAAATATCACATAGAAATCAAAGGATACTAGATAATTTAGGCATTTTCTTTCAAAATGATCAAGATGACCAGAGTATTCCATTAAAGAGCGGCATACAGTGAACTCACAGCACATAACATAAACGGAAAAGAAAAAAGCAAAATCTACCTTGTCCCAAATATTGGGAAAAGAATCAAAAGCATGTTTACTGCCCCCAGAAACCAATAGTAAAGGCTGCTAAACATAATAATAGGATTGACAAATGCAGGCTCGAAATAAATGCCGGTTCGTTGCCTTTTCAATGGTGAATATGGGTCAAGTTGTAGAAGTATTTAAATTACTTCTTCACTTAAGGCACTCCATGTTTAGACTGATGCATTGTATCGAAATTTCTGCTCTTGCTTTGTGACATTAAGAACGAATCATGTGGATATGTCTTGAACACAAGGTATGATTTAAACGTTAAGCCATCCCTTCAGGGTAACGAAGGACAGAAACATGTCGGTAGGATCTTAGAATTTTTCAAAACAATGGAGGGAGAAGATTATTTTAGAGTCCAGTGGTTCTTCAGGGCTGAAGATACGGTCAGTACCTGAATTGTGTTGAATTTTACTTCCTCTTGTTGTTTTGCTGCATATATCAAATACTAGTCCTTCATTCTGTTTCATCTAATATTAGTGCTTCTTTTTATAATTTTCAGGTTATAAAAGAGGCAGCGGCTTTCCATGACAAAAAACGTTTATTCTACTCCACTTTAATGAATGACAATCTATTAGATTGCATTATTTCAAAAGTCCATGTAATAGGAATTTCAACTACGGTAGCTTTCATCCTTAGTTTCTACTCCTTAGCTAATCCTGCTTTTATGTATTATTGCAGGTTGGATTAAAGACCAACTCTATTGCGCCACTGGACTTTTATTATGATATGGAGTATTGTGTGGAATATTCAACATTTCGCAACTTGCTGACTGGTAAGAGTGGCAGTAGTTGTCATAATGTTATATTAATGTTTGTTATCATCGGAAGGAAATAAAAAAGGACATGACCTTGAAGTAACCAAATAACCTTAGCAAATTCCCAGAGGACCTTTCGGTTTCAAATGTTGCTTAAGTATGAAGCTCGATCTTGCATTTTCTCAGAGCCAATGTGCTTGGCATGAGTTGCATTTGGGATACTCAATTCTTCTTTGTCATTTGTAAAAAAAAAATTCCATGTCAGCCATCAAGTTCTTCGATCATTTTAGTGTTTAAGAATTGAAGACTTAGTTACATAGTGAAATTCATGCGACACACCTGCATGATAATAACTAGTAGTCTGTATCCTAGGGTGTTAGGTAGTGCATGCGGTTTGATAAGACTGTAATCTACATGAGTATATATTTTATATCATTACTAGTTTTCTTGCATATTAATTTTAATTTGCACTGGTCAGATGGAAAACAGGTTCCATTTTTTGCATATGGTACGACCCTCAACCAGTTAGCTTTGTTGAGAGGTAGATGCCATCACATTTGGATTCTGGTGCTTCACTTTTGTAAGTGTCATGCACGCCAGGATTGACTGGGCATGCTCAGTTACTGTAATATGAAGTATCTATAATGTGCTCTATCAAAATTAGGCCAAATATTCACCAATTGTGAAGGTATTGCTTTAGCAGTAGCCATAGATAGGAACACGGCTGACAAATGTGCTGATGTGGTTGAGAGGGATTAAATGATGGTACATATGTGAGAGAAACTATCCTTGAGGAAGGACATTTTTCACCTAAGCGTACACAATGGCAACAAATAAATGGACAACACTACAAATAAATGTCAGTAAATCATTGGTCTGGATGTCTAATTATTTATTTTACCCACTTGAGTAAAGTATTCAACGAACGTCCAAGATTTGGGACACTCAGGTAACATTTGTCTGATGTTTACTTCTCAAGTGCTCTTACTATTAGAACGATTGTCCCAAGATCCGTTGACGGTGTGTATAATTGATTACAAAATTTATTTGTTTATTAACCCTATAAGGCTAAATTTGGGTTTACCTTTTAAAACATGAACATCACGAACAAAGATTGATACAGATCAAACAACAGGCTCGATGAACCTCACGATCTTCTACGCCAAAAATTCGAATGAAGTGTGGGTTACAATCCTTTGAATTCTCTTCCAAGCTGTCTCTCTGCCTTTTCTAAACGTGAAGGTAAATGTTATGACTGAGAGAACTATGGAGTGCATTTATTTATAGGCTACAATAGAGATCTTAATGACAAATAAGGGTCGGGCTTCTAATGGGCCTAAGAATTCTAAGTCCAACCCAAAACAAACATCTTATGGTTCATTAATAATCAATTAATTAAATTATTGACAATTATATTTAATTGACTTTTTTTTTTATCCTTGAGATCTTACTACTCAATTTATTTGTCATGTCGGATAATTAAATCCACCTACAGAGTTTGACATTGACAAAACTTATGAGCTTCTTCAAGAGGACATCATCAACTCATTTAAATACCAGAACGTGATTTCTTTTAATAATTAATATTCACCATACAAATAATATTATCTCCCAATTCACTGATGTTATTGACTCAAATAGGAATCTCACTCTTTTATGAATTAAAGTACCGATCATTATATTTACATGTCAATTAAATATCTCGAGATTAAGAGTTTAAACAATTATAATAATCATGAGGTATTTATTTTCTTATTTAGTAAAAAGAAAACAACCTCAATAATGGGTCCAGTCTAATACACAAAGAGTACTAGTGCAACAATTTGAGACATCAAACAATTTCCTATAGTCAAGGCAGGGTATGTCAGAAAATTGCACTATAATCTTACGATGGTGTGTCCAATTCCATCTAAAACTGTGAACGTTTACTTATATCATACAAAGATCCGAGAATCTAATCTTTTATGTATAAACCGAACTCTACATACCAGATTATCTACAATGTAAAATAAGACACACATGTATACTATATATTTAATATAATGTATATATTTTACTTACGTAGATTCTCATTGAAATAGGAAACAAATAATTTGAATTAAATAATAAACTGAATTTTATTACAAAAAGTAGACTTTTAGTATATAACTCTATTACTTATAACTTTTGTGTGTTTCAAATTCAGAATCAAAATTCGTGTGTGAGAGTTTTAATTTCATTGAGTAATTTTTTCAGTCCAACCCCAGCCTGTAAATGTATAGATGATTCAGGATAGTTTCTTACGATCTGGGTGAGACTTAATCACTACATTAAAGCTCTAAAATGGTCACTACTTGGTATAAGTTCCAAAATTGTAGAGTTTTTTGACTTGACAAAGTTTTTGCAGTGACGAGTGACCTAAACGAAAATGGCACTGGATTGTAGACACGGTAGCACCCAAGGCAGGAACTGTTAGGGGTGCAACTCGGGCCAGTTGGGCGGGTTAAAAGGTCAACTCTAGCTCAACCTTAGGTATATAATTTTCAACCCTAATTTTAACCCTAACCCTACCTCAACCCTAGGTACTCAACCCGAGTACTGTTCGAGTTTAATTCTGACAGGCTCGCGTTAAATTTGGGTTATTTAATTTGGGCTGATTTTGAGTTAAAAATCAGGTTGGACTTGCGTTACTTAATTCAGGTTGATTTTTTGAAGTGTAGATTTGATTTTTTCAAGTGACTGAGAAGAAGGTGAGACGCAAATGAAGAGAGAGAGAGTGAGAGAAGGAGGAGTGATGTGTAAGGGAGGAGACTTAGAGTTTGAGACGACTCAGATGAGTGACGATTGAGAGAGAGGGGCTAAGAGAGGGAGGAGTAATGAGTGAGAGAGGGATCTGAGAGTGATGAGGCGTATGGGTGAAAATTTGAAGTAAAGTGAAAGTTTGGACTCTAAAGAGTGAAGATAAATATTAACCTTAGTTTTATATATATATATATATATATATATATATATATATATGGTTCAATCTGATTTTAATATTTGGGTTGAATCCGACAATCCGAGACCTTAACCCAAATTCAATTCAGATTGGAGTTTTTTTGTCCTGACTCAATCCAAGTATTAAAAATTTTAACCTAAGTCTTGTTTTTTTGGGTTAAATTCGGGTTGGCCCGTCTAAGTTGCACCCCTAGGAATGTAACTCTGGATAGGGCTGATAATTGAATCAAGTTACTCAGGCTCAGCTCGAATTCGACTCATACAGGGCTCACTCATTTTCTAAAAAAACTGAATTTAAACAATTTTTTAAGCTCATTTAAAAAAACGAGCTCTACATGTTCGGCTTGATTATCAACCCTAACTCTAGAATCTAAATAGTAAAGTCGATTCTACTCATGCTCCAAACAAATCACCGCCTTTGTTTAAAGGTCCTGAAAAACACGAGTTAGGGACAAAAAGTCACTGAACATTGTATAGAAATTGACTCATAGATAATAGGTTAAAAGGAAATTGATGGACAAATAAACTAGATGGTAGAGATATGGATTCAATAGGCTAAAGATCACCAATCACATGCACTGGTCTAAAGGAACCACCGGTTAACATAATATGGGAGTTAGAGGTTGGGATAAGGCCCAAGTGGTAGAATTAGGAGCATCAGGAGGAGTTGCAATGCTTGAGACATTCTCTAAATGTTAGACAGTGAAAGAGGAGAAATATTAGATCAAAGAACATAATGAGGATGGTTCAAATTGAGAGTGACACAAAGAAGCTCCAATAGCAAATTTAATGCAGTCCAAGCTCCCGTAAAGGACTTAATTAAACCCAGCCCATGTTATTAAAGTGGAGAACTGCCACTGAACTAGCATGCTGTAATCTATTATTCAACTAGAAAATCAAGTACTAATTCTGGCCCATGTGCATTGAGCAGAAACTATTATTGAAGAAAAGCTTCACTAAATCAGAGTAAGTTTAGCAGAATTGGTACCAGTAAAACTGGGTGCACTATCATGCCTAATTTTTATTTTTTTTGGGGTTATGGTTAGTGTAAAGTGGTACTCTTTAAGAATTCTATATTGTTTGGAGCACTGGACTTAATCGAAGAGCAGTCCAGTGTAATTTAGGAAACTCAGTGGCAAGTCCTCAGCTCTTCCGTGCTACAGAACACTGAATGAAGTCAGGCAATCTTTAGAATGCTAGATTTGAGAGAGGGAATGAAAGACAATCGAGTGCCCTAATATAGATATGGAGGGAATTCAATAAGTAAGGTTGGACTCTCAAAAAGGAGAAACTGGGTTGGCTTCAGCGAGGACACGGCCCCTCTTATATCCGTCTCTCTTTTTCCTGGCTATATGCCTAGCTAGCGCGCTTTTCTTTGTGCTTTATGAAGAATCTTTCTTTGATCTCGCGGTTCTACCTCTGGATCCCTTGCCTGCTTTATCGGGTGCGTCTGCCAATAAGTAAGATGGGGAAGCTTTGCCGATTATCTTTGCTTTCTAGTGTAACTCAAATTCTGATTGCTGCAGCTTCCCTTGTATTAGTATACTTTTAAAGGTGTGGTGTGTTTGTGATCGTTTGGGGCTCAAGGGTATATTTTTAGCTTTCAATCCAACTGATAATAATTCTTAACCATTATAAAGAGACAATTGATACATATTTTTACCTGTTAGTGGAAGTACAATATCCACCCATAATATTTCCATTTGTGATTTTATGCTCCCTTGTTATATTTCCTAGTTTTCCTTACATGTATGAAAGTAAATTATTTGTTCTTATTATCGACACATTAACCTGTTTTGCATGCTATTCTCCTCATAGAATTCTTTGTTTAAGAGGATCTATCCGTTTTGAGCATGCCCACAAGCTAAATACCTGTTTCCTTTTTTTTTTACTTTTTCTTTGCTTTTATTTTTAGATTCTCCATGTGTTTGCACCATTTTGTGGACTTTAGCTGCAAACCAGGACACTGTCAATTGTCAAATGACTAAGGCTTCTATTGATACCTAATTTAAATCCTTGGCATAGCATTACAAAAGTTTCTACACTTTCTTCAGATGACTCTGTAAAAAGCCATGATTTATCCTCAGCTAATTATAATGACACTCTCCATTCAACGGTTACTATGACTCCATTGGAAGATTTGTCCAGTTCTGAACCTTGTAAAGCCGCCCTGACATTGCTTGACCTTTACTCTGGATGTGGTGGAATGTCAACTGGATTGTGCCTTGGCTCCAGACTTTCTAGTGTTAATATTATGATGGTAATGTACAAAATGAAAATTTATTTTGTATGGCTATGATTTATCCTTAAAACTGTCTTTAATTTGTCCCATGACTTCAGATAGCTCATTTCCTGCCCTTCATTTTAGAAATGGGCAGTTGATTTTGATAGATCTGCATGTGATAGCTTGAAACTGAATCATCCAGAGGCACAAGTGAGTATTCCCTATCAGTTATTAAGTTATGGCTGAGGTGGTGATGATCATTTCTTTGGATGTAATATTGCCTAACCTATGCTAAATTTAATAGGTTAGAAATGAAGCTGCTGAGGATTTTCTGGAATTATTGAAGAAATGGGAAAAGCTATGCAAATGGTACGTCTTCGATGATTTAGACAGAAAGCTTCAATCTAGATCAGATGATGTGGAAGAAGCCAAAACCAATATAGATACCCCACTGGATGCTAAGATTCCTGCTGGAGAATATGAAGTTTCACACCTAGTTGATATTTGTTATGGTGATCCCAACAAAACCGGCAAGCGTGGGCTAAAATTTAAGGTACTATATATATAAATATATATGTTATCTATATATATTTCTTCTGAAGAGCATGTTGCATAGTTCGGTTATTTTTTCTATGCCTTAATTGTTTTTGTTATTTCAAGTACGTTCTGTTCATTACTGTCTGTTGGTTGATTTAATAAAATAGTGTTTCAATACATCTGATTAATTATTCATAAGACATACCTCTGTTTGCTGCTTAATCGGAAAACCGTGACCCAGAAAAAAAAAAAAACAAGAAAGGAAAAAGGACTTTCTACCTCATCAGTAAAACCTAAGTCTATATAAACTGTACCTGATATTCATTGAAGGTTATGAGCAAACCAGAGCATATGATTCCAAGGTTTACATATTGCAACTATGTATATATGGGGGCAAAAACCTTCTAATAACGTGATCGTATAATTGATAAGTCTATATAAACTGTACTTGATATTCATTGAAGGTTATGAGCAAACTAGAGCATATGATTCAAAGGTTTACATATTGCAACTATGTATATATGGGGGCAAAAACCTTCTAATAATGTGATCGTATAATTGATAAGAAGTGTTTGTCGTACAAGACTATAACTAACTCAATGTTACCACTGTATCACTCTTTGAGAAGTCCAATCTACTTCCCATACTATTGTATATTACATCCAGATCTATGTTATCTAGATTGTGGGTCGATTTGGTATGTGGTGCGAGTACGGGTACGGGTACGTGGTATAATTCTACTTCTAATATACAATACGATAGAGGTAGTTGATATGTTGTTTTGGGTCGTGGTTCGTTTTGTAAGTTTATTTAGAATAATATGTCCATGTACCCATAGTTTAACAAATATTTATTTCGCATTTCTGACAAGTGTTGTCAAAATTGAGTTCAAAGGACACCAAAATAAAGAAATAACAAGTTAAGGTTACAATTTGGGGTTGGAGTTTTGATGTAGGATTACTTAGATCACCAATCAATTTGTGGGTTATGTTATAATTTGGGTTCTGGACTTTGAGAGATCTATATCGCGAACTCACCCTATTTCGGATTGTGCGACTCCGCTTTGTGGGATGCTAGTTGTATCTATGATCCAGATAGCCTTTGCACAACAACTTAATTATGATGTGATTGCAAAACTGTCATTTGATCATTTTGTTTGGTCAGTCATGGTTTCTTGCAAGGTGTAATTCATTGGCTCGGAGTGACAACTGTGACGTTGTAGGGTCGCATATGAGGGCTGCCACTTTATGCAAACAATGCCAAAGATTTGGCATTTGTTCCAGTACCTGGTTTGACAGCGACCAAACATGCTTAATGACTAGAATCATGGTGAAGGGCTTAAATCATACTGAGAAAAATTTGTCCGTCATAAATGGAATCAAATCTTCACGTTGAAGTATGTTGATGATAGTTTTTTATTCCTTGCCAAATGTTGCATTAGGCAAAGTCTTCCATTACATGCTAGAATAATATGATCATACTTTCCATAAAGTGTTTTCTTGATTTTTCTTGTAGCATATCAAATTTATACTTGGAATAATGCTATTAGGATCTAAAAAACCAGCCTAATTTGCTGACATAATGATGTAACAGTGATGTTGTCCAATAGTGTTATTGTAATTGTAATTCTTAGACTTCTTCATTGGGACTCCATCATTTGACACATTATTATGTCAGCAAATTAGGTCAGTTTTGTAGGCCCCAATAGCATTACTCTTATATCCATCAATTCTTGCTAGGATTTCCAGTTTGGTGGAAATATTTCCCAACTCATACCTGTTTTGTTAGGTGCGGTGGAAGGGATGGGATTCAAATGAAGACACATGGGAGCCAATTGAAGGGTTGAGGTATGTACTTGCTATCTCTAATGGTGTAGTAGCAGCAGCTACAGTAGTAGCTATAGTGAATATCTTGTACTTTGTGGACAATCACTTGTCATTCATGTGCATGTTCAGTAATTGCGAAGAACGGATACGGGATTTTGTTAGGAGTGGAATGAAATATAAAATCTTGCCACTTCCAGTGAGTTGCTTTTACTAATGCTCAGCGCCATTGAACTTGCTAGTTTACTATATGCCTTTTATATCTAATTTCCCCAACCCAATGACTCTGCATTTTCCAGGCTGATGTTGATGTTATTTGTGGTGGCCCTCCATGCCAAGGCATCAGTGGCTTTAATCGCTTTAGAAATATTGATGACCCGTTGGCTGATGAAAGAAATCGTCAAATAATTGTCTTCATGGACATAGTGAAATTCTTGAAGCCCAAGTATGTATTGATGGAAAATGTGTCTGACATCTTAAGGTTTGACAAAGCTTCTCTTGGAAGATATGCATTAAGTCGTTTGGTGCATATGAGATACCAAGCAAGGCTTGGAACTATTGCTGCCGGGTGTTATGGTCTTCCACAATTTCGCTTGCGTGTTTTTCTGTGGGGCGCTCTTGCTACTGAGGTGAATTCATCTTATCTTGCTATGAAAGTTAATATATTGGCTGACTTTTTAACTTTGGTCAACCCTAACTTGGGATGAATGGTTGGGATATCCTTTTCTTATATAGTTTGTATAATCCTGTGTGAAATTTTGTTAAATTTGTATCAATTCGGATGGAAAGATTACATAAGCTGAAATTCCATATAATACGTCATTGATGTATGCATTTTCATATAGTTCGGCCATGAAAAAAATGGAATAAATTTGTGAAAGATACTAATATTAGAAAAGCCGCATGATACAGAACTTAATGTTTTCACTCCCATGAGGCTTCCAAGCTGCACCTGATGACAGCTTTCTTTCATGCAGAAATTGCCCCAGTTTCCCCTTCCTATATATGATGTTGTTGTCAGATATTGGCCCCCGCCTGAGTTTGAGGTACTTAGTTTCATGATATAACGGTTAGTTCGTATTCCTACTGCTGTGTTTCTTATTCTTGACCTTTGTTTGCAGCGAAATACTGTTGCTTATGATGAAGGTCAACCTCGGGACCTTAAAGAGCCTGTCATTCTTCGGGATGCCATCTCTGATCTTCCAGCTGTACTCTTTTCGTTCTTAATTTTTTTCCTGCTTTATTTTAATTTGGTTGTATTCTCATCCTATGTCATCCTTTAGGTCACAAACTATGAAGTCCGTGATCAGATGATGTACGAAAGGCCTCCTGAAACAGAGTTTCAAAAATATATGAGGTTAACTAAATACGGTAATGTTATTAACTTCTAAGTGCTGAAGTGTGGAGCTAATCTTCATATTGTGGCTCTGTATAAATCCATTGCTTATTTGACTGCAGAGATTCCTGAATTTTAATATTGTCGTTTGACTTGTTTGTTATGTTGCTCATATGTTTTCCTTCTGGATTGTGGACTGATATGACCATGGTGTGTGCAGATTCAATAATTAAGTTTAGGTCAATACTTCACAAAAAAAACCCTATTTTACTCATCATAACTTCTCATGATATTCATGGCCTGTTTCAATTATGCCATATGGAACTTGATAACGCAGTTTATTGTGATCCTATGTAGAGTATTGATGTTTTAGATTTAAGATCATCATTGATGTAACTTCTCTTTTGATACCTGTAGCCGTTCTCATTGATTATTTGATTTTGACATCAATTGTTCTGCTCTCGATGGATGTCTTGTAATTCACTTGCCTGGATATTTGGTCACTTTTTTCAGGCAGTATCATCATTGTAGATTTCTAATTCCTTTGACTCAGCTTTAAATTGGAAGACGTATGAATTTGAATCATTATGGGAATATTGTGCGCAAATGCTTTTTTATCTTTTTAACGGTTAGATCAGTGTTCAGCTTTTTGGAGTCAACACAAGCTGTGTTTCTTCCAGTGATTGGAAGTTGCAGATGTGTAATGCTGCAAGTCATTTGAACCCCCCCCCCCCCCCCCTCTTTAAATGACAAAAATAGCAAAAGAAATAAAACTGTCTTGCTCCATACGATGCACAACTGAGTGAGATGTGGCCTTGGGTCAATGCCTATACAGTAGTCTTATGAAGTCCTGCGCAATAATTAGTTTTTGGAGACTTAGTAGAGTTTGATATTTGTAGAAGACAGATAAATTATGGGAACATGTCAGGAACTCAGGATCATTCTACCATTTGCTTACAAAACATGCTTTCCTCGCAGGCACATTGGCACGGGGACGACTTTTTGGTGAGGAGTATATTTTAGTTCTCATCAGTGGCAGTCATTTATTTCTTGTTTGTAGCTCTGTAAGATTGCATACCGGACAATGTAGAATAGAATCCCTTATTTTCCGAACAGAATAAGGAGGGTCAACGGTGAAGCGAGAGGGTCCGTGATTTATGCTAAATCAGGACAGTGCTTTCTTTCGAACTGTCCTCACCTATGAAGTATGAACACTCTCAAGAAGGTGATATCTATATCGGACACCAACACTCCTCGGATACGCTTATGATATTTTTCTATCTATGTCCGTAATTGAAGGATAAAATTTTAATTACCGATACTTCTTTGGTGATGTCTCCGACACTTGTTTAGACAGTCTATTGCTAAACAATAAACACGATGACATGTGATTAATAAAGCTTAAAAATTTGACTAATAAGTCTTTTATACTATAAGAGAACATATAATTACTAAGACTAGACATGTTAAAATTGCACTCAAAAAATAAAAACAAAAGCAAAAGATACAATTGAGAAAATGAGAACAATCATTTACATTATGTATGTTTGGTACACATTTACGACAAAATTGATGATTTTTTTTTTTGGTACACAAATTGATGATTATTGACTGAGATGATGTTGGTCTAAAAATTCACACTAGATGACGAGGCATAACATTTACCCATCATAAAATACTGATTTTTTTTATGAATAATATATCCCTATCACTATATTTTGATAAAATAAATAATTTTATATATAAAACACAATTATCTATAGCGTGTGTCCGAGGAGGCGTCAGTGAGTACGACTGCCATCTATCATTTTTCGAGCTGGTTGCTTGAATCTATAGGCTATCTCTTGTCCGCTTTTCTACCAAATCTACTTTCTTCTTCCTTCAGACCGGTCAAGCCTTTAAGTTCTTTAAGTAGATTTGGGCCAGGTCGTTGGCTCCGTGTCCGTGTCCTAATTTTTTGAGAAATGTCGTGTCTGTGTCATTTCCGTGTCCCGCGTTCGTATCCATGCTTCTTAGGTCCTCACAAACTGCCTATAGTTGGCATAAGTTTCAAGGTGTTGTGTCCATGAATTGCTAAAAGCATGGGTTTATGATGCACCTTTCTGGTAAAGAAGCACTTAAACCAATTAAGTTTGCCAAAGCATCAATTCAGATGTGCTGGTTATGCCTCACTCTGCTTATAATTGGCATAAGTTTCAAGGGGTTGTGTGATGTGTCTATGAAGTTCTAAAGGCTTGGTTTTACGATGCACCTTTTTGGGAAAGAAGCACTTAAATCAACTAAGTTTGCCAAGGCATGAATTCAGACTTGCTGGTGAGCCTCACTGAGCTATAACATATATTTCTGAAAATTTTGTTTTGTCACTAACTATAGCAGAAATATTCATTTACTCATATCATTGAACTATGAGTAAAGAGAAATTCACTTTTACATACGATGAAGAAAGTATCTTTTGCATAAAGGAGGGTATGTAAAATGGTGAAGATTTACCACAGAATATTACAACAAAGGATTTATTAGATGCAATAGAGACTGTAGTCTGTGAACTGGAGGATGATGCTGTGGCATATTAAGCTAATAATATTTTTATCTCGCCTAGACTAAGAAGCATTGACACTTCTCCAACACGTGTATAATATGCTTTTGGCAAGAATAAAAGTCTTAATTTTGGGAATTGTATGGCACTACTTGGGAACCCAACTAGGGAACGTGTATGACGTGTACGCAAGAATTTTTCCTATGTTGTGGGAATATATGATTTTATGGATATAAAATATATATTTTGATAGATGAGGCAAAATTACTTGTAGCATGTACTAGCTGTGTCCATGACCTACTTGTAGGATTTTGTTGTGTCAAGTTGTATTCTTGTCCATGTTTGTGCTTCATAGCTCATTAATTCGCATGTAAAGGTGAACAGTAGCAAAACTTTACTCACCATTCTAGTCTGTCAAAAATTTGTAATGCGGACATTGCCCATTTTTATCAGAGAAGACCAAGAAAATTTCCTAGTCCCGTGTATCTCAAGAACTGTTATGTTCTCTTCAGTTAATTTACATTTTTTTACATTACTTGTTCAGCAAGGTGATGAAGTTTCGGAAGAATATATTAAATGGCTCCATTAGCTGTTTTCTTTTTTAGGTTTTTTTTGGTTGGGGGGGGGAGGGGTATGATTGTATGAAGATTAGTGATTTTCATAGATTATACTGCGATTTTATGACGGTGAATTTGTTCTCAAGAGTGGAAGAACTGGTGCTGTATATGATGCTCTACTTCTATCACAAGCATAATTGTTCACTTCGATGATGATGATGCTGATTAGGATTGAAATATTTTATGTTATATATTTTTCAATTGATTCAATGCCTAGTTTTCACCAAATTAAAGCTATGTTGGATTTGGCTTGTGTTGAACTCTGTAGCCTTCTACATATAAGGACACAGATATGTTACTTATATTATTATCATCCGCATACAGATTTTTTGCTCATGTCTGTACTACTCGTGTGTGGTGTTTGCCTGTAAGGAACCTTTATTCTGCCATAGGTTTCAATTTTTTGACTTTTTACTTTCTGGCGGCTGATTTGCTGTGATGTTTGCCCCATTCCTCCCTTTCACGACACTTAATTGCATAGTGAGAGATTCAGATCATGGGGCTGGGTGCTGACCTATAAATTTTCATTTTTTTTCTCGTTCCTCCAGAGCTGATGGGTTTTGCTTCAAGTGAAGTTGCAAAATCAGAAAGTTCTGTGCTGTATGATCATCGGCCTTATCAATTATTCGAGGATGATTACTTACGTGTTTGTCAAATTCCACACAGAAAGGTTGGATAGATATGATAAATATATGCTGATGTATGAGCTTTTGAGCGTCATTGTTTCTGATGAATGACCTTTGTAGGGAGCAAATTTCAGGGACCTTCCTGGAGTAGTTGTGGGAGTTGACAATGTCGCTCATCGTGATCCCAAAAAAGAGTCAATTATACTACCATCTGGAAAGCCTTTGGTGAGCATTTTGTTGCCTTTTCCTGAGGAGGAGAATAGTCATCATTTCCCTTATAATTTTTCTCTGCTCAACAGTTACTCTCTCTTGCTTTTTTTCTTTGAAATAGAAAATCGGCACTCTCTCTCTCTCTCTCTCGTTTTATGTTCCAACCCGTATTGCTGAAAATTATATACACAACAATTTCGTAGCTGGGAACTATAGTGTTTCTGATGAGGTTTTCATGGTGTGAAGAGATGATTAATACAAACTATGATTGTTGCCTGCTCTAGTTAGTAGTTATGATCAATTTAGACCAAATATCCAAAAATATCTAAGCACAGATTGAACAGAAATATAAGAAGATTGTAACACTTAATACAGTGAGGAGAGAAAATAAATTAATAAAGATTGACTATTGAATAAGCTTATTGCTTTTGACATGTGTGTGGAATATAAAATCCCTGGTACCATTTCCTAGGGATTTTTTCAAGTTTTCCTTTCACTTTTTTTTAAGAAAACTAACAAAAAAATGAATAGTACTGTTTGGTTTGCGCAGAAATAATTTTTTCAAAATGTTAAAAATGAGTAACTTTTCTTTCAAAGACAATTTTTTTTTTCCTTTTATGGTTCTCTTGTTTGTGTTCTCTCTGTTTTGCTAAAGATAACCACATGTATATAACATTTATGCACATGTATAAATGTATGTATTATTATACATTAAGATTAACATATATTATTATTGGAAAATAGTTAGCAAACATGATAGTTCGATGACTATTACTGCATCAGTGAGCAAGAGTAATGGATACAAGTAAATGGTAATGTGAGGTATAGAGGTACAACGAAATCAACTTTGAATGAGCTAGTGAAATGGATATCATAGTTTGTTGTTTACCTGAAAGTCAGAAACTGTGGCCTTTGATAGATTACAGTAGCGTAACAGGATTCATATAGCTTGACCCAAAAATGTTGGGACAAGGCTTTGTTGAATTGAGTTAAATTTGCCCACAAACATACTTTCACTTATTCTAAGAGTTTGGCCACATATTTTCACTCATTTGAAGAGTTTGGCCAAGCCCATTTTTCTCCATGAACCGCATTTGATAACGTAGATCTGCAAGATTTGGACACTTTTTGGGATTAACTAATTTTTTGGTATCTTGTTGGGTGAATAGTGTTTACCTGCTTTGTTTTTCTTTCTCCGCATCTTTGTCTGTCATAATGTTTGTCACTTGTGAGAAAAGACATTCAGAATCTTGTTTTGTCTTTTTATGGTGATATTTGCTTAATCTCCTCACTTCATTCAATTAGTTAAGCACATGTTGGTTATCATTTTGGTTTCCCCTACAAATGGAACATAGCAATTCAGTGTTTGTTCTTTTAATTTTCAATAGAATCAGTGGATATCGTGGGTGATTATCATTATCATCTGCTCTTCAACGGATTGAGTGGGGGATTATCATTATTATCTGCTCTTTTTTTCTGGAAAATGGGAATGTTGATTTAAAAAAAAAAATTTCTGAAAGGGCTGTAATGGATCAAAATGACCTGAAATTCACTGATTCAAGTAAAATTGAATATTGGACGGTAGAAAATGAGGATTCTATGTTCTGATTTTCCGTAACAGTTTTTTTAACCAAAAACCTATGGAGTGAGTAGATTAACCAAAGTTATTTTTATTTGCTTATAGGTACCAGATTACGCCTTCACTTTTGAACAAGGAAAGTCTAAAAGGTTTGATGTTTTCTTCAATATGCCCTTCTAATATTTTTCCGCCCCAGTGTATTGTTGAAGTTTGGGGTATATTTATAGGCCATTTGCAAGATTATGGTGGGATGAGACAGTGGCAACAGTAGTAACTTTCCCCAATTGTCACAACCAGGTATTCTTTTGGTTTTTGGTTTTCTATTTAAGTGATACAAAATGTGTGCGTGCATGTGTGTGTGTGTGTGAGAGAGAGAGAGATGAAACACTTCTTTTGGATTTTATTGCAATCTCATAAGATTGTTTCAGGCAGCATTACATCCAGAGCAGGATCGAATTCTCACCATCCGGGAGTATGCAAGATTGCAAGGGTTTCCAGATTTTTATAGGTTTTGTGGAAGTGTAAGAGAAAGGTATGTTCCAAAAAACATTATTTCACTTGTTTACTAACTCGTGACATACCTCAATTGGGATTGCATTCTTTTCTCATTGACATGTATGTATAGAGAAATACACAGTATCGAGAGAGTTGAGTTTCTTCATTGACAAGGTTGATGGGTTTGGGTTGGAGTTTGTTGGGCGATGATCCTCTCAATGCACTTTGAGAAGTATTTTCTAAAAACAGGATTTCAAAAGCTTTTTAGGTCAGATAAATGTTAATTTGATGTCGATTAATGCAGGAATATTGTTGTCATCTAATGTGCCATTTCTTTGGTTTTACACTCATCGTATTGCAACAGCTGCATCCCTTGACCTTTAGTGGTAATGTTGTTACATTGTGACCTATCATGGGTTTGAGTGAAAACAGTTTCTCAACTTTTGGGGATAGCCTACGTACATCTAACACTCTTCAAATCTCGCAATGTGAGGAGCCTCATAGACTGGACTGTCATTTTCTTATACTGCAACATCACCCTAAATTAGAGTGGTGTTTGTGCCATGTGCAGGTACTGTCAGATTGGTAATGCTGTTGCTGTTCCTGTATCACGAGCCTTGGGATTTTCCCTTGGGATGGCCTTTCGCAAGCTGAGCGGAGATGAACCACTCGTGACCCTACCATCTAATTTCTCATTCCAACCACCACCAGCTGATGAAATTGTTGCCTCGGCAAACTGATGGTATTTATCAGTGCTGTGCATACCTTCCAATTATCTCATGTGACTTAGAGAACATCTACCTGATTGTTGACCCATGTTCCCATCCTCAAATTTTGAAACTGCTCAGTTAGAAGTCTAACCTTGTGCCAGGATCTCCGGGCCAAGGGGACAGTCTCATGCAAACATCATGATGGCAGCGTTCATCTTGAGCCAGGATCAAACTCTTGCTGAGAAAGCTAATTCGGATTCCTTATTCCTTGTGTCATTAATTAAGCTTCTGTGTTCGTAGGCAAAGTGGATTCGGATATGTCTTTCATTTCAAGTAAGTGCAACCCCAACCTCGCAAGTTGTTCCATGAACATGCTTCAATGCTTGGGGTTTGTCAAGTGCATTACCAAGCAAATTAAGATTATCTAAGCGGAAACTAGTGGAAAAGGGCAACCATGACGAGGCATTTTTTCAACAAAAATACATTTTCACGAGAAGTTTATCCGGCTGAGTGTACACTAAATTCTGTAGGCTTTACATTACCCATTTGCCCAATCAAGGGCGGATGTAGCTCTCCGGGCTGCAGTGGCAGCTTGTGCTGCATATTTTGATGTCCCGTGGGTTGATACTTGATAGGCTGTCTATTTAATGAATACGGTAATTTCTGCAAAAAAGTCATTAAGCTTATCAGTTTACGTGTAGAGAATGGACCATGGTCTGCACTGGGAGAAAATACTGGGTGTAACGATGACACCATGTCCTCCAATAATAAATTTACAAATGGATAAGGTGAATGTCACTTGAGTGGTTATTAAATACAGTAACATGATTGTGTAATTGCTAGAATATGTGAAATTCACTAGTCAACATGTTATCTTATCATTCAACCGTTATACTGTACAGGGTATAACGGCTACACCCAATATATTTTCCTGCAGCGGAGCCTTTGGCTATTGCCAAAAAATTGTTCATCTTTGTTTTGTGTTGGACATCCATGCACGCAAGTACTCTACTTTAACATGGTTAACTCGTTTTCTCCACCACTACCACTCAGGGTTCCCCTCAGCCATAAATTCTCTCTTCAGAACAATAATATTTCAATTGATTTTGAAATGAATGTTCGATTAGGTGTTGAAAAGATTGATTGAGCGTTGAAATTACTTGATATGTGGTGATTAGGTGTTTATATGGGTCCATGTGGATGGAGGTTCATTGGTCCTACCTATTGCATAGATTGGGGCCTTAGTTACTATTGGGTTTTGGGGCGAGGTTCACTTGTACGTTGTAATCACCTCTCTATTGTAACTATCGAATTGGGATCTTCGAATTTAGGTCAAAATTCAAGATATCACATAAATGCCATATCTAGATCATGATCATACCATTACATTAATTTGTTCGATTTCAAATCTTGATTGTACAATTTTATTGTTACAATAATTTGGATCAAAACTTAACACGATAATCATCGTTTTGTTGATTTGGACTGAAGTTCATGCTAAGGTTTTTGTTTTTTTTTGACATTAAATTCAGGCCAAGGTAAAGAGATTCAAATTGGTCAACATTCTATGTGGTCCACAGACTAATCCACGGAACCATACCATTCTATGTACCATCCATGAACTGACGTTCATGCTAAATTTTTTTTGACATTAAATTCAAGCCAAGTTCAAAAGATTCAAATTGGTCAACATTCTATGTGATCCATAGACTAATCCACGAAGCCATACCATTCTATATATCATCCATGGAAAATTTTAAAGTACTGAAGGTTATAATTTTTTATAGTAAAATTATATATTTAAAATGAGAAGTTATAACTGCTCAAGAGAAGACCATAATCGAGCAATTGTAATTTTTTTCTTATGAGTTGAAAGTTATAACTTCGGTATCAATCGTAGTCTCTCATGTCAATCAAGCTATTTAAAAATTATAACTTATACTTAAAAAAAATTATAAATTAACTTTTAAATAATTATAATTTTCGTGTGGTATCCTAGCCTTTCCCTACCATCCATAGTGTAACCAACTAAGCCAATGATGCAATCTAAATTATAAGTCCGGCAGGGATCAGAAAAAGGCCAATGATGAAATCTAAGAAGAGGATAAAGAAAAGTTTAAAGAGGAATATGGCAAGAGAATAAAACTTTTTCAAGAGAACTCTTTAACACCTTCCTTTCCTTTCTGTCTGTGGGGGTGTTGTGGCGTGGCCGGAATGGGTATCTTTATAATCATCCAAAAATGATAACCATAAGTAAAAAAGGTATCAAATGCTATTTAGCTTTGATATCACAACTAAAAATTTAAATTCGTAATAAATAAAAGTGAAAGGAAAGATATGGTTCAAAACTTCATTTGGTATTATCATCAGTAGGGCTGTTAGTCAAACGAGTCTGAGTCGAGTTCGAACCGAACTTGAAAAGTTTATTTTTTAATCGAGATTTAAAAATTGTTCAATTTCGGCTCGTTTTGGAAACGAGTCGAGCCTGAACAAGCCGAACTCGAGTCGAGCCTGAGCCGAGTCCGAATATTTGCACATAAACAAGCCGAGTTTGTAGGACTTGTTTTTTAAACAATCCTAAAAATTTGTTCAAGTTATAACTCGTTTAAAAATCGAACCGAGCCTGAATTAGCTGAACTCAAGCCGAACTCAAGTCAAGTTCGAGTAGTTTAGTTTGATTAACAACCCTAATCATCGGATAATAAAAAAAAATAAGTGGGGTCTATTTTAATTCTTTGATAATTCATTATGATATTATGATATTTTGTGACAATATTAAGATAGTTATTTTTTTTTATAGGTCCAATTATGATACTTAGTATTTATGATAGAGAAAAGCAAGACAGTGTAAAATTGTCTTTAATTTATTAAGTTATTATTTTTATAATCAATAACTATAAATAAATAAAAAATTAAGATCTACCACTAGTTTTTTTTATTACCATAAACTTGTCCTTTTTCGATCCATCTATCGTTACCCGGGAATATTCTCCGGTTACTCCCAACAACCTGTCCCTGACGGAAACATCGAAACGTGTCTCCTATCTCTCTCTCTCTCTGACACACTCTCTCTCTCTCTCTCTTTCATTTTTCGTTGGAGTTGGACAAATGACAACGTCTTTCACTGGTTCACTTTTTCCCTCTCTCTCTCTCCTATTTTGCGCTGGAGTTGGACAAATGACAATGCCTTTCACTGGTTCACTTTCACAAAGTCACACACTGGTGCGGAATTTCAAACTGGCCGTCCCCATTTGTCGGATTTTGATTTCTCTATTACATTTTTCATTTAATTTCACTCCATTAAATTTTTTTTTTCAATGTTTAGTGATATCTAAACTAATTTACATATATCGTGACTAGAATATTAATAAAAGATAAATACTTCATAAATTGATACAAGCATCTACTTTTAAAATTAGTCTATTATACTTTTATTAAAGAGCAATGTTACGTAACTCAAATCTATAATTTGAATTTTTATTTCAAATAAAGAGAGAACATTGGATTAGTAGGTTCCATTTAAAAAAATTGATGAACCCACTAATTCAATAATTCCTTTTATTTGAAATATAAATTTAAATTATATAATTTTTGTTTTTACAAAAATATAGATCGCGTATGAACATGGGATTCATATATTACTAGTAAGTCTTATTTGAGTAGGTGATGTAAAAATGAAGTTGTGTGAAAAGGTAAATGAGAAAATTTTCATAGGCATTGGACCGACGTGGCACGTGACTGCACCTATATTCTCTCCCCTGATTTGCCGGCGAATATTCCACGCTGGTATCCACGTGGCATCCTCCCCTAATCATCTGCATCTCATCCCTACCTTTACCGCCTGCATCCACAGGCTGACGATAAAAACTAAGGTCCTATTTTATTTTATTTTTACTGTATCATATTAATTTATCCAAATTAGTTGATGAGACACTTTTTAGAAATGAATAAATGACAACACGTGATTTCAGCACCGAGAAAACACTTTTATTCTAATAAAGACATATGTTCTCGATTCTTAAGGTGTGTATTAAATTTTTCACAAGTACCTTTGCTCGGCGTTGAGGTACTCCCCCTATTTATGACAGATATGTGCCCTCAACTCCAAGGGTACCTTTACTCCGAGGGAGCCAAGTGTCCTCGGATCCAAGAATACTCACTAAAACTCTAATCTTGCCACGAGTCTTTGGTTTCTGGAGAGGTTATCGATTGACCGCTGAACAATTTAAATTAGACTAGGAATCATGAGAACACTCTACACAATGAAGTCAGAATAGCAGAACGAATTGGACACTCAACCAAGGGGAGTCAAACGCGTGACATAAAGTGTAGGATAAGGGGTAAATAGACAGAACTACCTTTGCTAACTTATGGTTGTCCTAGGCAAGCATTTAATGAATCTTCAGTGATGGGATATCCACCGTAGTTTGGGAAGCCAATGATATGGAATATTAAATGCTCTGAGTTTCGAGTATTTAAAGTTTTTACATTGAAGAGGGAGCATTAAATACTCGAGAGCTTGAGCAATCAATAACGGGATCTCTCCCATGCAAAATAAGAGGCATACTGCCCTATGTCTGGGTATTACCTACAAACTAGGTTATTAGTAATGATGAACTTTTGGAGATATAAATAATTCCCAAAAAATGTGAAGTAAAGGTACACAAAATCACCCCTCAAGAACCATACTGAGTTTTCTTCTTCCCCTTTTTCAAATAACTGACTTAATCGTCAGAGGGGATACGCTAGAAAATACTCTGACGCCCTTCTAACTTGTTTTCTATGTGTCAGGAACGGCTTGTTACCCACCGGGATCGATCAGAAAAGCCCCTGAAGCAATTCATCGCCACTCCTTAGGCCCTTTTAGCCATATTTCCTTCTTTTTTTTTTTGTCACGGAATCATCAACTTTCTAAATGAGCATGAGTTCAACTAGAGAGAAATCTGTCTTTTTTATATATTGTGCGAAAATCGTCGCATACATTAGCATATGTTTGATGGCTCATATTTTTTCTAACATTTACAATGTATTTGGGATTTAAATCTTTTATAATAAATTTTTTTCTTGAGATTTTTAAAGTCCTGTAATTTTTATAAATGGTCAAATTTTGTATTTGTGAGAAAACCTAATTAATTAAAAAGTATATTGAATTATTGAAATTTAAAATTAATTGAATCTAATAATGACCATTAAACAAAGAATTTGATGAAAAATTAGAGGAAAGTTAACCCGATTTTATTTTATAATATTGATGGCTAACTTTAAATTCAAATAAGATTTGGTAATAACCTTTGAGGATGGTCTAATCGTCAAGTCTATGACACTCTTGCAAGTTAAAAGGTCTCAGGGTCGATATTTTCTACGATATTTTCTATAATCCTTAAGGACCAATTATTTTTGATCCTCAAAGAATATGTCTTTAAACTATTTAAAAAAAAAAATATCTGCTAATAATTAGTGAACCCATCACTAGTATGGATCCATGAATGTCACCAAAAAAAGAAAGTGCATTGAAAGACACAAATTTGTATAGAGAAAATTTTTTTGGACAATAAATTTTAACACATTTTGTTGACCTAATAAATGTTGAGATTTATACTTAAATCAATGATAGTGATGTTTAAAGTCAACAAATGTTCTAAAAAAATTTTCAAGGTAATAAAAAAAATATTTTAATATTTTTTTTTATTATCTATAATATAAAACATAATAGACTTCAATTATTACTGACGTCTTTTTTAAAATTATTCATATTATATTCGAGCTGCCCTTTATTTAATAATAATACAAGTCAATGCGGCGGTGGGTGATTCAAGAGGTGGTACTCGTGGAGTGTACACTGTGATTGCTCTTATTTTTTAAATCGTTTCTTCAGATTCGTCGCCGATCTTTGCTCGCCATGTTCTTTTTACAAAATATTATTATTAGTATATATATTAACATATATTCTCTTTGCTGTTACTTTTAGCTCTGGACAAGTTCTTCCAACTCTGTTCCTTCTCTGTCTCTCTCTCTCCATTCGGAAGTTTGCATTTTGGTCATTTGGGTCTTCTTTGGAAATATAATTGCAGGGAACAATTTAGAGTTAGCAAACATAATTATCTCTTCAGCTTCTTGTACACAAAATCTTTTGTTCTCTTTTACCCTTTTAGCTTTTTGGGTTCTGAATTCATTCTCCGGTAACTTCGTTCTCTGTATGAAGAAAAAGGAAAATGGGTGTTTAAAGAAAAAAAGAAACAGAGCAAAAGCTGATTCAAGAAGTTGATTTTGTTTTGTAGACAGAAAGAGGATAATTCAGGGTGTGGGGTTTGGAGCAGTGGTGGGGGTGGAACAGGTGATGGAGAGAATGTATGGTAGTGGTGATGGAGGAGGAGGAGAAGATTGTTATCCATACGAGGGTGGATGTGGTGGGGTGGTAATGACAAGAGACCCAAAGCCAAGGCTGAGATGGACTGCTGATCTTCATCAACGCTTTGTTGATGCTGTCACTAAGCTTGGTGGCCCTGACAGTGAGTCTCTCTCTCTCTCTCTCTCTATACTAACCTTTAGCATCTTTATTATTTCTTTTCTCATTGTCACCCATCTGGCAATATGGTTTGTCTCTGCAATTCAATTTGCAAATAAGAGCATTCATTTGTTTGGTTTGCTGCAATTTTAGAAATTATGACCAAATTGAGAGTGTCCACTTCATACATCTATCATCAAAATAAGTTGATAAAATCTTTTACTAGGCATAACATAGGCTTCAAACCCTAAGGTTACCTAGTAGTGGTAGCTCAGCCACTTGATAAACCTCTCTTGAGGGGTGAGAATAGGTCGGGCTTCGAATATTCTAAGAAGCGTAGTCCCTTGAGGCCACCATCCAAAGATTTACTCCTTGTGTTGGAGAGGCGGCTTGACAAGGTCTAACATTAGTCTAGTACGTGAGCGGGGTAGTACTTAGTTTGCGATGATCTACCGGGACGGTGATCTACTGGGACAACTAGGATATCAAAAAAAAAAAAAGCTTCAGATAAATCTGATTTTATTCATCATACTGGTAGCCCCATTTTATAATACCTTCATTTTTTTTTTCCTTTTTTGTTAGTAAGTGTTTTGGTAAGGAATGAACCATTGGACTCGTGCAACCTCTTGGCAATGGCCATAGGTTTCTAATAAACCAAGACAATTGTAGGTAATACAGGAAATCCTAACATTTAGAGTACCTAACTACTTTACAGGATATGAAGTTTGTGATTGTATTACAATAGAATGACCTTTAAACCTTTTAAGTTCAACTGACCCATAACAAATCTTAAATTTAAATTCATGGAATGTGTAACGACTCGTAGGGAATGCATCTGTCTGAATTATGGTAATAACAAAATACAAAAATGACAATGAGAATGATCCTGCTATTTTTGTAGATAGAATTCCTTTCCGTGAGCATTCCATCAACATAACTAATTGATAAAAGGTTTCTAGAAAACTATAAATTACATTTGCAGAGTCTATGTTTTATATCTAAATTTCATGTGGAATTTCGTAATTTAGGGAACTCTTCTCCCACTCTGTCAAAACTAGTTATGGCCTTTGCTGCTTTAGTCTCTTTGAAGAATTGCTGTCTGATCAAGTACTTTTATGGCCAAGTAACTGCGTAGTAAGTTCGAGACTAGGATTTTTATGAGTCATGAAGTGACGCAGATCAACCTCTGTGACGGCCAATTGATTGATGCCATCTTTTCCTTCTGAAATAACCTTCACTCATCTTGTTAATATTGGCTAAATAACTGCTTGAAAAATGCGTGCAAGATGTCTAATTTAGAACCTTAGGACAAGTTACATTGTTCTTTACTTTGGCATTTATTAGTCACATGGAAAAACAAGAGGGCAGAATATGAAAAATTAACAAGGCTGTATTTAAAGCAATTGGTTCCAACACATCTTTTCCATGGCTTGTGTAGTCAAATAGTTAATGCAATAGTACCACAGAGACCGACACACTGGAATCTTTTCACATGTGTATTTTATATTTGCACAAATTTAATGCATACTTAATCTGGAAAGGATTTTCAATGCACAGAAGCGACTCCCAAATCAGTGCTGAGGATAATGGGCTTAAAGGGGCTCACACTGTACCATCTAAAGAGTCATTTACAGGTGTATGTCTATTTTTTGCTTATACCATATGCCTTCTTTTTTTTGTTTCCCTATGAACCACCAATGTTGTACTGATTGAATTTTGATGTATATAGAAATACAGGCTTGGACAACACTCCAAGAAACAGAACACAATAGAACAAAACCAAGAGACTGCTGGTGAGTACATTTTGATACTGGATTCTTTGTTAAGATCTCTGCCACAGAGGTTGATCAAACTGGAAGTCACTAGGTTCTCTCCCTTAGACCATTTTTTATGAGTTCAACCTTTTCAACAGGAAAGAATATGCTGTCGCGCAATAAAATCTAGGACTTTTATGAGCTCAAACCGCTGGCTGCTAAATTTTGGATTTCTTCAGTGGCCAAATGTTAAACATATGTGACATTTTTGTTCCAGTGTCTCGTCTAAAATTCTATTTATCTCTTGCTTCCAGATTCTCATATGTGTCATGCTTTCTGAGTTCCAGGAAATTCCTATGGACATTTGCATTCCTCAGGCACCAGTACCAATTCATCAGGGGTGAACAGTGAACGAGGGTATGTGCTATCATACTTTTACTCCTGTATGAAAGTTATATTTACTTGATACCAAGCAGATTTCAGTTTGTATATATAGATTGAAAGATAATGGCACCATAAATGGTTATTTGGATTATAGCTTAAATTTACATATTCAGCTGTATGTACTTCATTCTCTAGTATTTGCTTCTTGTTGCTAATGAATGTTGTATATTCTAAGCAGAGAAATCCCAATTACAGAGGCCCTTAGGAGTCAGATCGAAGTACAGAAACGATTACAGGAGCAGCTGGAGGTATGTATCTAGCCAACAGTTTTGCAATTCCTTTCAGCCCTCTGCTTAAATAGCTTGCTAATCGTTTGCTCTTTCATGTAGTAGTTTTTGCCATCTTTGGACATCTTTTCTCTTTACTACAGGTACAAAAGATATTACAGATGAGAACAGAGGCCCACGGGAAGTATTTGCAAACAATACTAGAGAAAGCTCAAAAGAGTCTCTCATTTGATATCAATTGCCCTAACAATTTGGAAGCAACAAAAGCTCAACTAACCGACTTCAATGTGGCTCTATCAAATCTCATGGAAAATATGAACGGAGAAGAGAGGCATGAAAATATTGTCGAGAAGGCCACATTTAACAATATTAATAGGAAAACGGATGGGTCTGTTTATTTGGGAGAAGAAGAACGAAAGAAGGGTGTCAAGCTTGAGGTTGAACGAGGTTCCATAAGTTTTGATCTGAATGCAGGAGGTAGCTATGACTTTCTTGGCGCAAATGGAGCTGTATTGGAAACCAAGCAACTTGCTTATAGGAGATAGAATTGGAAATAATGTGCTTCTCCTTTTACTCTAATCTAATGTTACTTCCACTGCTTCAATTTGTTTATAATGCTTTTTGTTGGTAGCTATTTAGATCCATTACTTATCCTAAAGTGCAGTAGTTGTGGCTGTTGGCATTTCATTGGGTATATATACCTATTGTTGGCATAGCCAAACTTGGCATTGTATCTGGAAATTTCTGACATTAAAGTATATCCTGAGAATGGTTTCTCTTACAATTGCTTGAATGCTTTGTATGTTTATTGCCTCATTTTTCAGAGCATAAATAAGTTTATGACCAAAACTTGAAAAATCTTCATTGTGTAAGTTGATTAAAGCTCCATTTGCAAAGAGTTCGAGTATGCTTTCCATTCTTTTTGCAATATTAGTGCTGAGTGTGATTATCGGTGAGATGGTGTAAATTTACGAGAAATTATCCCTCGTATGCAGGAGGGGGACGAAGGCTTTTTTCTGATTCGCGTTGCATCATGGACGTTCTGATAAGTTAAGAGCCAAAAACAAGTCACCTATTCGAAACAAACTGAAAGAAAAGATGGCGAATTCACGAAGGAAAACAACCTTAGGAAAACATTACTTCCAATATGTCTTCATCTTGCAAAGCTTTTATTCAATTATACTTTATGTATCGTTCAAACTTATATAATCTGGTAGCTATACTTAAAGATAACGTTTCAAGTATTCATCCATGCGAGTGTATTCAATTTCTGGAAAGAGTTGTAATGCATTGAACTATTGGAGACAAAAATGAGACAAATCTCATATTTTAGGAATCTCATACTTTAGGAACCTGCAGTGCAATTAACTTTAAATAAATTCATTTTTTTTTATTTTTTTGATCTAGTATTCTAAGAATAGTTGTATAATTGAGAATCAAATGATACTTGAGTTTATAGGGCTTATGTGTAGTAGATTTGACGCAGAAAAGGAGACCTAGTTGACATTGTGGCTCATGGTATGTGTCCACTAGAACATGACATTTATTTTTGAAATTGTATTCGAATATAACATGACATGAATTGATCGTCACCCCTAAATTTAGAAAGACGATCAAAGTTTAGCATGATTTAGTGACATAATTTGTTAATTTCCTATTTTGTGTAGAGTAATATTATTTAGACATAATTTATTAATTTAATTATTCATAATCATTTGATTACCGGTGAACCCTAATATTTGTTGGAACTCACAATCAATTTAATTTAATGATTATGATAAATTATAGTTAAATAATATTTCTTATTATTTTACGAGGCCTTAAAACTTTAAGAAATTTGGCACAGGCATTTCTATCCAATCAGAGTGCACCATTGAGTAAAGAAGCTAACACATGCTACCACAATCCACCTCTCTCTCTCTCTCTCTCTGTGTTGTGGTTTCAAAATGCCGTTATCCAGTTCGTCAACGGTTTCTGGGGTTCCCATTGCAGTCCCCTATCTTCCACAGACAAAGGTATGATTACTCTGAGCAATAATTTCTCTGCCACCATTTTCTTTATCCTTCGTATTGCTAAGGAAATGGAGGAAAAGGAAAAAGAAGACTATGGTTTCAATCTTTCAATACTAAGCATGCAAGTAACTAAAACCCTCCACTTACTATACCCATCTGAATTAATTGTCTTCATCCAAGTTAACTGTTCAGTTTTGGATCCCAAAATAATAGAAAATTTAAGTTTCTAATTGTAAACACTATCTTCGTTTTTCTTCAGTTTCCCCAAATTTTATCAACACTGAAGTTCTTGTGAAATTCTAACCATTTTTTATATATTCTAGTACAATTTCTTCCCTTTCTCGATTATTGGCTTTGGTTGCTGATTTATTTATTGATTAAAATGTAGGGTCTTGACATTAGAGACTTTCAGATAAAACAGGATGTGGGTTTTGGTGGAGAAAGAATTGCCACATATAAGAAGTGTAGAAACCTTGATTTCGTGACCAATTCTGTTTCTGGGGATAGTGGTTCTTCAGTTGGATTTGATGTGCCATTTCCTATTGATTATTCTGAACTTCTTGAACAAGTAAGCTTGTACTTCATTATTTGGTATGCAGTATATGGTTTTGAATTGTGTTTTGCTGAAGCGCCACTTTTAGCAATTGCTTCAGTTGTTGATTTAGTTGTTTTCACCTTAGCTATCAACCGACTATCCAATCTCCCCTCCTTTCGGATTAAAACCAGTTAGTGGAAAGACATGATTTACGAACACCATAGTCGGAGTGAAAATTTGAATTCCAATACACATGAGAGTTATGCGATTACTTTTTTCAGTATGATTAACTCAACTTAATTGGGGAAGTGTGCACAAGAATTGGACCAAAGAGTAAGTTTTTCATAGAAGCACTTGAAAGCTTGAGTTGATCTATACCTCCATGTGTATGTGGGTGTGAAAAATTTCTTTGTTCTTTTACATGATTTTCTTAGATTTTAGTAAATATTTATCTGCAATGTGTATTCTTTAGGATAGATGTGTGCCAAATTTTTGTTCTTCCATTTCTTCTCCTTTGTCATTGGTAGTTGTTACTTTGATGATATTAAAACTTGTGGCCTGTAACTATCAACAGGCTAAAGAAGCAACTGAGTTGGCTTTGAAGGATGAAAAGCAGTTAATGGTCTGTTAGTTTCTTTTCTTTGCTTTTCCTATAAAAATGGAAGAGATATTATACATATATAAAGAGATCTTTCATGGTGTTTTTTACCCTCAAGCTTCTGCTACAGGAAATTGAATTTCCAACTGCTGGACTGGAATCTGTGACAGGTTCTTTACCTTTCCTATTATTCTTTTCTCCTTCTTCCTTATATTGATTCATACTATTAACATATTCCTCCCCCATGTAAGGTTTGTATCAGGTGACGGTGAAGGCGGTATAGAAATGACTGGAAGTATGCAGTTGATTCGTGAGTTTTGCAACCTCTTCATAATTCCGGAAAAAGTTACACGGACCAGAATAGTATGTGTCAAACTTTGGAACATATTTTGCAGTTTGCATAACTATAATTATCTTTATAATTATAATCAACAATCAAAGCTTAGGGTGACTCAGCAGACTTCCCTTAATGGCTTTGGTTCATTTTAGTTTTGATAATACGTTGATATGTGTTAATAGGCTTGATTTATACATGTCAGATTAGTTCATACTGTTTGCTTCAGATAGGAGATATGTAGGGATATTTTCAGACTTCACCAAACTAAATCATGTAAATTGGACATGAAGTAAACATTATAAGTTGGCATTATGATTTCCTATTTCTTTATGCTGCTACAAGCTTCCAGGTAACTAGGGCAGGCCAAGCAAAGGTGTGATTATAGTGTTAGCTGGGCCTTGGAACCTCTCAAATATTACTAAGTCAACACTTTTCTAATACTTATACTTTGCAAGAAATAAGCCCATACATGAGTCTTAAAAATCACCAAGAAATTCACGATCACCAAAGATTTGCAAAGGTATCTGGCACTTGTTGTGATGAAATGTTATCTATTGTGTACAAATTATTTTACGTAGTACTAGTAAACTATGTGGGAGAAAGATATGACTCAATACATTTGAAGCGCCATGTATATATATTTTGGTTTAAAATCATATTATTAAAAATTTGTTCTACAGATTTTAAAAGTGATTTCATATATGGATGTGTATAAGTTGGGTTGTATTAGGGTTCATTACATGCCTTTGTGTTATTAATTTTCAATTTATCGACCTTTGTTTGTCACAACTTCCGCATGATGTCCACAAAAAAGTGATCTATTGTAATAATTATTTTATTGATCGTTCATAATTATGATGTGTGTAATTAGTTGATGGATTTAAATATATTTACAGTATAGATTTTGGATTTGCAAATACTTGCCAAATCAATTTTTAAAAAAAATGAGAAAAACCGAAGCGTTTCAAATGGAATTTCTTTTTCACATAGGTTATAATCAGGTCTTGTGATTTTTATAAATTTATCTGAAATTTAAAGTTCAGGATGGTGTGAGGTTAGGATTTTGAGAACTTTACTTGAGAGGATGTGATGTTATGGGGAGTGTTTTCCCCGGTTGTAGTACGTAAGGCAGAGCTTGTATCTAGAATCCCATATTCTTGCAAGTAATGTACTTTTCATGTGCCATTTTACTTATTTCATCGATTCTGAGGCATGAAGTAATGTCCAAACTCTCTGCATTATATGCATCAAATTCACATCTATATAATCAATATGTTCCATAATATCATGTCATTTATTACCCATTTTTGGTATTTTTAAGAATGACATCAATATTGCTCAACGCTCCATATTTTCAGAATTGCTATCAGCCAGTATTGATCTGCCCGTGACTGAATAGAATAATGCATAAAGCATGCAGACAGGAATAATTCCTCTAAATATATAATTATGATTGTTTTCCATCTGGAATTGGAAAGGGTTTTTGTTAGATGTGATGCTTTTAGTTCTCCTTGAACCTGTATAAAGGGGTGGCACTTTCCTGAACTAGATACAAATTTTCTTATTTTTTGGTTATCAGTATCCATTATACTCTGGGCATTTCCATTAGAATATTTTGATTCTACAATGTCAATTTATGTCTATAAAACTTTGCTCCGAAATTTTCAGTTTTTTCCGGAGGCTAATGAAGTTACATTTGCAAGAAAATCAGTTTTCGGAGGAGCTTCCTTAAAGTTGGACTATCTGACAAAGCCATCATTATTTGAGGATTTTGGTTTCGTCTCGAAAGTTAAAATGGCTGACCGGGTGAAGCCAGAAGATGAACTGTTCCTAGTTGCCTATCCATATTTTAATGTCAATGGTATCCTCAGACTCCCTGACTTTTGTTTACTTTTTCATGCTATGAAGTTTATATTGATGTCAACCCCCTTTTGAAATACAGAAATGCTTGTGGTGGAAGAACTTTACAAAGAAGCTGTGGTGAACACTACCAGAAAAATGATTATATTCAATGGAGAACTTGACCGTATTAGATCTGGTTGTATCCCTAGTCAATAAAGTTCTAATAGTATTACACTGGATTAAATTTACTTTGGTCTATGCAGAAATTAGAGGTTTGGATGGATGCTAATAGACACTCACCAAATTGTTTTATCAATCTCAAAAGTAGTTTTGATCCATATCACCCCTCCTCTGTTTACTCCCCATCCCTTGCTTTCCCATTGTATACTTTGTTTCGAAAAGTTACATCGTATACTTTGTTTTTACGGCAAAAAAAGACCTTTTGGAATAGAGGAATGAATCAGTTTTCAGTAATTGGGATCGTCTGTTCGCATATCTTACCTACTAGTTCCTTTTTATCCACGCATGTTGTAGTTGTCCTTAAGATGATCTAAGATTATCCACCATTCTTCTATCCAAAGCTAGCTGCACTTTCCAGTTCTCTCTTTCCCAAGATGGAGACTCTGTATTACATCCACAATTTTAAGGGACGCAATGGGGGAACTCTTTTCAGGTTTGTATTTTCTATACTCACTAAACTCTTCCTGTGGAATCCAAAATGCTGGGAAACTTTTTAATTCTTCTAGAAACTTTACGATGCTCATTGTCAAGAATGTGTTTTCTCAATTGGGAGTAGATGCCATTTACTTGCTGGAGTTGTCTAACGTTTCCAGAAAAGTTTCTAAAGATGTTTCATTTAACCATAACAAATCGCTTTGCCTAAATATGTATATTTCAACCATAAGTCCATAACAAATCCTTTTCTTCTCCCTCTCTCTCTCTCTAGGTGCTATCCTGGCCCTTGGAAGGTGCTTAGGAAAGTGAGAAATAAATATGTTTGCCTCCACCAGCAGGAAGTGATGCCATCGCTCAAAGAAGTTGCCTTGGATATTCTTCCATCGGCTTGAAATTTCTGTAGGTGAATTATCTGGTGAGATTTTTTTCGCTTTTTTATGTGAATAGAAAAATAATTCTCCGACCTGTATGTTTGGCCTTTCAATATTGTGGATCTGATAATTTATGGAACATTAGGTTGTTAATGACTACATTTTCTAGGGAAACACTCCCCCTTTATTAGTTGCTTCAGGTATGTCTCTTCTCTGCGGGTCTACTTCAGGGAGAGTGACTGATTAGGAGTGGCATTGGTAGCATTCAAAGATGAAGCAATGCTAGTTTAGCAAACTCAAAAAGTCCATTTTAGCTGAGCTGTTTCCTGATGACACACAGACCAAGCTGGGATTGCTAGGCTTATAAGACAGACAAACTTTCAAGTTGCCATTCGATCGAGTAATTACTCAACCTTGTGCATGTTCAGTGAAGCTATGATTTAATCCCTTTTATTATTTTTTTAGTGGTGTTCGATAAATGTATTCAGAGTACAATTTCATGTCTCTATTTTTGAAGTTGGCGACACGGGTTGAAGGCCATTTTTGACTTAGGTTGTGTATTAATTTGAATGTAAAGGCATCTCAATATTTATGTGTGTAAATAAGATTATTTCTTTGCGATCATGTTTCTTGTGAATGCCTCCCCTCCCCCTTTCCCTTTCTCTTCCCCTTTTCTTGTTGTTTTAATTGGCCTCGAGGGTGGTGTGTTCCAAATATAACTGTGTGGGTTTCATCCTGTTTTCTATCTTCTTTTTTTTTAATAGTTTTTTTTGGGGGAAAGGAAGAGGGGACTTGAACCTTTAACCTCAAGAAAACAAAATCTTCATAAGTCAAGGAGTATCATTGAACCAAATGCCCATTGGTATCTTATTTTCTATCAACTAGGTAGAACCTTCGTTAAAGCTTACTCCATATAAACTGTTTGGTCTTCTTATAAACTTAATAAATAATTACTTGCTGTGGTTCTTGTAATAGGAAAAAAAACCTCTTACCTCCTGCTTTCGATTTGGTTGGGAAGAAGTGAACAAGGGTTGTACTGTTTGTGCTCCAAAAAGAGTAAATTGCTAGAGATCAAGGTGAACTTGTCGAAAGCATTTTGATACTTAAGTCAATAAAGATGCTAAAAGTAATCAAAGAAGTTTGCAAGATTTTAGTGCATACCTTAGACTCAAAACATTACCCGATATTTATAACATTTTGTTGGTCTTTTTCTCCGACAAGATTTTCACCCTTGACTATATTGGATGACACACTTAATTCTCGGTCAGAATAATAATATTTACCCATGATTTAGACAAAGTTCTTATCAATCCAGCCCTATCTCTTGACTTCTCGGGATAGCCTAGCAATCTCACTTACTCGACGATTTTGTTTGCAAGGTCACTTGCAAATTCGGCTTGGTCTGTCTTATGATTTTTTTTGTTGACAACTTGGTCAATTTAGCCGAGCACTATAGTCGCCTGCTTGGCCGATCCTAATGGAGACTATAATTCCCAGACATGCCTCTTGCACAGGGTTTTTGTCACGTGATTTTATTAATTATCTCAATTATGCGCAATCGTTTTATATTTTTTTTTTTAAAATTTTTAACTTACAAACAAAGAAAAAGAACATATTATAAGTACAAGTTGACAATGATTGAATTTTAGTAACTGTAGTTACAGATGTCAGATTAGATACGGTAACCCTACGAAGGTCTTTATTATATGTTATTTTGTTGCTAAGTCTTTAATCTTGGGCTTCCATCTCTGATTTAAGATGTTTAGAGAGAGTAAATATTGAGTATCATAGCATGATTAATATATGTAACGTAATATCATGCTGTAATAATGAGATATGCACAGTGAATATACTTAAATTTGATTGGTTTTGTAACATCGTTTGTCATTGATGTCGTGATAGCATTGTGACACTGAACAATATTCAATATCACGGGGGATATCACCATCATTAGTTTGTGCAATGATGAGATCTCACACGTGGAGGAAATAGTACGAAGGAAGTGTCTAAGTGAACAACATGGTATTTGTACTTTTCACTGCCTTTAAATTCATGAAGGCTATACGAATTGTAGACACAAGAAAGAAGATGCTTTTCACTGGAATTTTTGAACGTACATTCGATTATCTGAAAGAAGACCATCCTCATGGCCCCGTTTAGAGGATTGGCATTTGAATTCCTTATCATATTTTGTGGCTGTTGAACTTGTAGAACTTGAATATGTTCAAACTCCATTTGACTGAGCTTAAAATCGGGTCAAATTCAACTTTATAACTAAAAATTTTTTTTGGTGTTTAATTTTAAGCTCCCAAAATGAACCACATTCCTCATCTGATAAAATGTTTTCTAATCAATGAAGTGAAAATACCTAGAGAACAAGAGCCTCTCTGTTTGAGCAAAGAAGATGACAGCAGTCGAAGAGGTCTTCGTCGTTACCTCTTCCGGGTCGGGCCACCTCTTCCCATGCATAGAGCTCTGCAAACACATCTCCTCCCGCAACTACAAAACCACCCTCATCCTCTCCTCCGCCGTACCCTCCTCCTTCCACCCGCTCCTCTCCACTTTCGAGATCCACCACTCCTCCGCCGGCGACCACCCCACGCAACCCCAAACTGGTCTGGACCTCGAGACCCACCTCGCAACCCGGTCCAATGATAAGGACTCGATCCGCCCACTGTGCGCCATAATTGATTTCCAAATGGGTTGGACCAAACACATCTTCTGGAAGTTTAATGTTCCGGTGATAAGCTTCTTCACTTTCGGCGCGTGCGCAGCTGCCATGGAATGGGGCGCGTGGAAATGCGAAGCCAGTAATATGGTCTCCGGTGAGGTCCGTACCATTCCCGGCTTGCCGGAGGAAATGGTTGTGACTTACTCTGACTGCAAACGCCGGCCCAAAAGGCCCTCAGGCACCGGAGGTGGTGGTGGTGGTCCACCTAAGCCAGGTGATAAGCCGCCTTGGGTCCCATTAGTTGAGGGCTCCGTTGGATTGTTGTTTAACACGTGTGATGATCTTGAGCGTCCATTTATCAACTACCTGACCAATGAGTTGGGAATGCCGGTGTGCGGTGTGGGTCCACTATTGCCTGAACAGTACTGGCAATCGCACGATTTGTTGATTCATGATCGACTGATTCGGCAGTCGAAGAACCACAGTAACTGCAGTGAGGACGAGGTCATCCAATGGTTGGATTCCAAGCCACGTGGTTCTGCCATTTACGTGGCATTCGGGAGCCAGCTGGGTCCCACTATGGAGGAGTACCCACAGTTGGCCGGTGCTTTGGAAGATTCGATAAGACCATTCATTTGGGTCATCCAATCCGGGTCGGGTTTACCTAATCCAAATGAGTCGGATCAAGGGTACGTCCCTCATGGCTTGCAAGCCAAAGTTGGAGACAGAGGGTTGATAATAAGGGGATGGGCACCACAACTATTGATACTGAGCCACCCATCCACCGGTGGATTTTTATCGCATTGTGGGTGGAATTCAACGGTGGAGGCGATCGGCCAGGGAGTGCCGTTTCTAGCATGGCCCATTAGGGGTGACCAGATTTATAATGCTAAGCTAGTGGTAAACTATCTGAAAGTTGGGTACATGACACTTCATGGAGACACATTAGAAATGGTTAAAAGGGAAGACATAGGGCAGGGCATAGAGAAGCTCATGTGTGACGAAGAGGTTCATAAAGGAGCTGCAGAACTTCGGATTAAACTTGGTAGGAGCTTTCCACCAAGTTCGGAAGCCTCTTTGGATGTTTTTAGAGATTTCATCATACAGAAAACAATTTAATCTTGTGTATTGTTAGGCTTATACTGCCGTCTTTGATAGAGCAAAATGAATAGAATGATTCTTATCAACAATTTTAAATAATTAAGATAAAATTTTGTTTGATTTGATTTATTTTTAACAAAGAAAACAGTAGTAAAAATTACGTTTTGATATCGAAACAAAAAATTACAGTGCAGTCGAACTGGGTTATGAGTCAAACACATCAAGTTATAATTGAATCGAATCAATTTAGAATTAATTTTGATATTTTAAAATAGATTTCATATGAGTTATAACTGTAACAAAAACCAATTACATTAGTGCATTGCATTATATAAACTTTCTCAAACATTTGTACATTGTAAATAGATACAGAACCAAAAAATATTATATACAATACAAAACTCGACCCTGGTGGTGCTACAATAATGTATCGTCCTTGTAAAATATATTAGTTAGGGTTCAAATCAAATATTTTATAATGAAGGCACCATAAAAAAATAAAAATAAAAATAAAAAATGGGGTGCTTCAATGTCGGATGGATTGTTGTATATCAATTGGACTTCAAGTTGGCATTGAAGACTAGTTTCATTACACTTTTTCCAAGTCGACTGAAACGGGTTGATTTTGAAAATAGTTGATTTGTTTTAGGGGTGCAACTCAACTCAAGTGGGTTGGACAGGTTAGACAGTCAACCCTAGTTTGACCGTAGGTATATATAATCTTATTTTGGGTTGAGAAACTCAATTCGAGCACTGTCCGAGTTTAATTCGGACAGACTCGGGTTGAATTTGGGCTACTTTACGAGTTCAATTCTAGTAGAGTTCAAAATAAACTTGTTGTTCTAAACTTAAACTTAATACATATATTACATAATATTTACCTAAATTAATAAACAATAACTTCAACCAAGTGTTTAACAGTGTTAATGCTAGAAAAAAAAATTAAAATGAACAAGAGAGACAGAAAACGATAAAATATAAATGAAAAACTAGTGTTAATGTTTTATATATATATATATATATATATATATATATATATATATAATTTATTTTTAATTTGTCAGGTTCGGATTGAACCCAAGGCCTTAACCCGAACCTAACCCAAGTATTTTTTAACTCAAATTTTTTGAGTTGGGCTCAAGTTAAAATGGGATTGCCCAACTCAACTTGCACTCCTAACTTGTTTGTATATTAGTCATAACCCGTGTCTTCGGACACGATAAAATATAAAATTTGAGTGCCAAAAAAATCGATTATATTATATTAAATTTTTTTAACATGTGTTTATTATCGTATATGAATAATGTTTGAAATAAAAATTATATTAACTATAAATTAATTAAATATTAAATGTTTAAATATATGATAAAAATAAGTTATGTGATGATTTTGGAAAAAAAATATATAAATATATAAATAATTAAATATATAATAAAAATGAATAATTTGATGTTTTTAGGAGGAAAAACATTGTTATGTGTTTTATTATATTGGTATTATCAATCCTGTCTACACATATGGCAACAAGAAAAGGAATCAATCTTATTTATCTGTATATAGCTGCAAGAAAGCCAAACTAGCACGGGTCTACTAGTAACGAGTGGCTGATAACGAATACGAAGCCAAGCTCAATTTCTTTTGCAATGATCCACCGGATAGCAGCATTCCATTCGGGTCAACCCTGTCCCACTGCACATGGATTTGCCGACATCTAAACATATATTTGGTGATTTTTTGGTAGATGTGCCATAATTAATGAGCAGGATTGCTTTATTCAAGAGGAGAAAGCAATCGACACCAAAATATCCCGCAAGCGTTAAGCAGAAGCTACTTGTATGTGTCACTCGTTGCTTCAGAGTTCAGACAATACCTTTTCTTGGACGAAACGCGTGGCTTCTTCCACCAATACAGTCAACCCTCCGTACCCCACCACCACCGTCCTTACTACCAGTATACTATACAACCTACTTTCCCAAATGCTTTTCTTCGGACCCAAGTTTTCTCTACTCTCGCCAACTAGATGCAGTATGTTTATATAACAGAGAAACATCAGAATTCAGAAGCCAAAGCGAAAAACCCAGAAATATGGAAGCTATGGGTGAGATTTTGGTAGTACCGTTCTATGGGCAAGGTCACCTCTTCCCATGCATGGAGCTCTGCAAACACTTCTCCTCTCGCAATTACAGAGCCACCCTCATCATCCCTTCCCACCTCTCCTCCTCCATCCCCTCCTCCCTCCACCACCACCCTCTGGTTCAAGTCATCGAAATCGCCGCCTCGTCCCCACCACCAGAGATGGAAGCTCCACCGCCGGAGACGGTGGCTGGACCCGAACCAGATTACAGACATGGACCGGGAGGTCCGGGACACGACCCATTACACGGTCATCACCAAGCCCTGGCTCAGGGAATTAAGTCCTTCCTATCCACCAGAAACCAAGACCCGGTTCAGATCCGACCTTCGTGTGCCGTGATCGACGTAATGATGAGTTGGAGCAAAGAAATATTCGCAAAATTTGACATTCCGGCGGTCTCTTTCTTCACATCCGGTGCATGTCCGTCGGCGATGGATTACGCGGCCTGGAAGGCTAAAGTAGCTGATTTGAAACAGGGTGAGATCCGAATTCTTCCCGGGTTACCCGAAGGCATGGCCCTGAGTTTTTCGGATATTCAAAGAAGGCCTCGTGGGCCACCACCGAATGTTAATGGCAAAGGTGGACCGCACAGACCACCGGGTGGGATGGGACGTGGCCCACCTGGGCCGAGTGAGCTAGGTGGACCGTTTGGACCACCAGGTGGGATGAGACGTGGCCCACCTGGACCGGGTGAGCTAGGTGGACCGTTCGGACCACCGGGTGGGATGAGACGTGGCCCACCTGGACCGGGTGGGCAGCCTAGATGGGTTGATGAGGTGGAGGGTTCGATTGCTTTATTGATCAACACAAATGAAGATTTTGAGGGTCCATTTATCAGTTACTTGGCTAGTCAAGTTGGTAAACCGGTTTGGGGTGTAGGACCCATGTTACCCGAACAGTATTGGAAATCAGCCGGTTCTGTGATCCATGATCGTGAGGTTAGGACGAATCGCCAATCAAATTACACAGAAGAGGAGGTGATCCAATGGTTAGATTCAAAGCCACAAGGGTCCGTGATCTACGTGTCATTCGGAAGTGAAGTTGGGCCCACTTTAGAAGAATATACCCAATTAGCAAACGCATTGGAAGAGATGAACTGGCCATTTATATGGGTGATCCAACCCGGTTCAGGAAAATCCGGTCCACCTCCCTCACTTTTCGGGGCTCAACCCGGTTCAGATGATAAAGGAGGAGGTTATTACCCTCATGGGTTGGACGGCAAGGTTGGTGATAGGGGTTTGATAATACATGGATGGGCACCACAGCTGATGATACTGAGTCACCCGTCAACGGGTGGATTTTTATCACATTGTGGGTGGAATTCAACGGTAGAAGCGATCGGGCGTGGGGTCCCACTTTTAGCGTGGCCCATTAGAGGTGACCAATACTACGTTGCCAAATTGGTTGTGGGCCATCTTAAGGTAGGTCACATGATATCAACCGGTGAGGACCCATCAGCAGTGGTCAAGAAGGACGTGATAGAGCAAGGGATTGAGAAGCTGATGAATGATGAGGAGGTTCGGAAGAGAGCTGGTGAACTAAGGGCAAAATTTGAGTGTGGGTTTCCAGCAAGTTCAGAGGCTGCATTGGATGCTTTTAAGGGGTTTATAAGCCAAAAAAAACAGCTATGAGCACTTTCCGTGAGAAGTAATAGGCGCGAGATCGGTCAGAGCCCTCGTGATTCTAGCGGTAAAACTTTATTGGAGTCATCTCTAAGCTTTATTGGAGTCATCTCTGAGCGCTCTACTTTGCCCCGTCCTTTTTTCGGAAACAACAAAAACAGCTATGAGCACAGATTGATGTTGTGTGGTCTTTTGTATGAGTGATGAGTTTTTACCCATTTTTACTTATTGTGGGTTGGGAAAAAATGTTACAGAACTTACTATGATGAGTGGATTTTAATCTATATACTGCAGCTTAGACTTGCAGCAATTCCATTATGTTATGGTTTATAAGGCTCCCCTTGCATCGATGTTCAATTGATCTTGTCGCTCGGATAATTCGAATGGGAAAGTTTCAACGGCATAACGCCGCATTCTTGTGAATTTGAGTTCTAATTGTTTATAAATATTTGTATTTCAATTACGAGTCAAAAATAATGTATGGTTGGAATCGATGATCCTTTGAGACACAACAACAAAAATTATCTTTAATCGAATGTGCAAATCCTAATCATTCAACAAGTAACTAGAACATCTTTCAATTGGGATTAATGGGAAAGGAGAGCTATATCCTGCATTACCTACTTCAGAATGAATGAGAGCATTGCTTGGACCCAACTCTCCATAAAATTTTCAAATCAGCATAGTCTTCTCACATTCTGAGCGTTAAATTTCCAAGTTTTCTCCACTTTTGAACATCATGGCTAGCACAAACCTATTTGTTCCTCTTACCAATTTGAAAGGCAACCTTGATCATAACCAAGTAATAAAAAAAATAAAAGCAGAGTCGAGTGCAAAGACTACAATTATAGGTTAGATGTATGCAGTCATATTCTGCTAATGACACTTCATTAATACTTTGAAAAATTACAACTAAATCTGATCACTTGAGCCAAAAAAAACTGGAATCTTCGCCGAAAACCCAACAAAAAAAAAAAACCTCAAAGTCAAATAGGATTTGTGTTGTTCGACGACAAAATGACAGACTAGAACTTGATGTTTGGTTATATGGTCATGGAAGTGGTTGAAGAAACTTACAAACACCTTGCCCGAATGCATCCAATCAATCCCCTGTTGGACCCCTTTATTTACTCCAAGGACCACATCAAACCGAAAGGATTAAAGGTGTAAGGTCAGTCATGACGCCAACCCTACAAAGGTGAATCTGACACAACAATAAAGTTGTTCTATGATGATCTGAATCTTAAATGTTCAAATCACGAGAACGTTCTCTCTTTATATGGTGATAAAATTGTATATATCTAACCCTCCCCAAATCTCGTAATGAAAATAGTCTCGTACACTCATCCAGTCATTATTTTTGTGGCTAAATTTATATTTGTGTTGAAGTATAAAATCTCATTCTCATTGTCAAAATTGAGCAAACAGACAATGAGCAAAAGCTGCCCAAATTCTCCTTGTACAATCATAAGGTCATTCCGTCTTTTCTTCTCAATTTTTTAATGCATAAAGTCTTTAGTTGAGGGGTTGGAGGTAATTAAAAACTATCCTTTGCTTAGATTGTAATTTGAATAAGAGTGAATGTTGTTTATCAAATAACTGAGAATGGTTAAATCAACATAGAAAACGTTAATAGAATCCATTGATCTATCGGTTTATATTGATTTTGGTAAGCAAAAGATAATAAAAGACCTGGAAAGAGTAATGGTGTTGGTTGAATGAGGGAGTGCTCCTGTCAGCTGGTACAGAGTTGTGTGGTTTCCTGTGAAACTTTCTTGTACATTTATGAAGAAGTTGTGTATTTTCTAAGCATCAAAATTTTGTGGCCACCTAAACATGTTGTCCATTGGCTAGAGGTACAATGTTCTGCTCTCCTGCTGGAAAGAATAATTTCATGGAGGTGATCATGGATACGGATATAACATGAACAGGAGAGGAACCTCCATGGCTAGAGGACTATGGTGTTGATTCGAATTTCTACCAAAATGTAAATCTTAATTTAACTAGAGTTGAAGAATTGATTCAGAATTTGCCCTCAAATCTATCTGGACTTACAAACCTAACTGACATAAACGTGCCTCTACTTACCGGGACAAGCCAGACATTTCCCCATTACTCCATAAAAAATAAAAAAAACACAAGGGCTAAAAAAATTTCTGCCATTTTTTAACCCTAGCAACTTCTCAAGTTCACCAGGAGCTCCACATTTTTGAATGATCGTCAAACAGTGATCCAAGTATGGCCTTGCAATTTTCTTGTCCGTCCTTCATTCTAGAAGACTTTCCTTCACCAGTGTGGTTTTGCCCAACCTCCATATTCTCACCCACCCAAACCACTTTGAGTGCACCACTGTATTTCCATCCTCCATTCAGGTTAAACAGAGCATCTTGCTAATCCCCGAGGAAATCTCCATTGCATGACAAACGAATATTAAGGGGGAAAAATATATATATTCTCCGACGTTCCCAAGATAACCCATTAATCAATCTCATCTTCAGATTATTTAGGAAATGCAAAGGCTACCGGAAAAAATGCCAATCACTATTTTCATGCAATAAATTGATTAAAGTTCTGATGACTTCGTTACAAGAAGTAAATCAATGAACGCGACCGAACAAAATACAAATCGAGTTAGCAGAGATCATGCTTTGAGTTAGCCTTCATAGATCTGGGTCTGGTTCCAGCTTTGGGACTATAGCAGATGACAACTCTATATGAGAAACACGGATGGCACCTATCAGCCGCTCTGGCAACTCATCTGTGGTGTTTGCCTGAAAATGACAATACAAAGCAGCAAACTACTAAAAAGCAGAAGATAGTAGGCCAAACAGCTTCTCTAATCCAATTATTTAGCAGGACACAAACTATGATTTAGCATTACAAATTCAAAGTACCCCTTTTGTAGTGAGATGCAGACTGTCTAGTTTTTATGAACTCTCCAGCGAGAAGAAATTATCATTTCTTTTCTTCCCTTCAGGTTTTTCCGATATGCTTCTTCAGAGCTTTTCAATCAACTAATTGGGCAAAACCCTTCAACAGATCTTGTAAAAACCCCTTGAATATATGTATTAGTTTTGATGACTTTTTATCTAGTTTCACAACTATTTCATATTAAGCCTACTGGTCCATACAGAATTTTCCATGCAATATCTAATCTTAACCCATAATACTCAAACAAGGGAGGGAAGATCGCCCGTTAACGAGTGTCAACAAGGAGAAAACAAAGACTAAAACCCAATTCCGTCACTTTCTCCAAATTAAACTTCCAAAAGTATGAAACTATGTTTTTATCGAAAACTAAAAATCATACGGCAAGAGATTCATATATAATTGAAATTTGAGATAAAATGCTGGAAGGATGCACAGGACTAGTTGGAATGAATAGTGAAGGGGACGGTTAACACAAAACACTATCAGTGTTCTCCCTTCTGATAGTAATTTCATCGGCCAACACCAGGAATCCTCTGAAAAAATACTAAGTACCCTAAGCAGATTAATGGGTCTCGTTAACTCAAATAGTTAAATGACTTTCCTGGTGCAACAAGGCTTAAGAAACAAGAGGTCAAGGAACAGGTAGATCTAAGAAGACATAAGGTAGGCTAGACGAACAACTTTATCAAGACACATGACAAAAGCCCCACGGACCCCATTCCAACATGGGAGCATAACGACTTATCCACATATGTAAACAAAAGATCCAAGTTATGAGGAAGTTAAGATATCTCATAAGTAAATATGTACCTGTACAAGAAAAGCCATGTCAACAACCAGAGAAGTAATTACACCAACCACAAGCCCCAAAACTCCATTAGCCACAGTGGAAGAACCAATGTCAACATCAATCTACAGAAAAATGGACAGTATTAATAACAATTTTAATGTTCAATAAAGCATTTATATGGATGCTTCAAGTTGGTATGTGTGTGTGCATGTGTATCCTGTAAAGAAACAGTAGAAGGATCTTTACTTCTAAATACTTCGGACCACGGATATAGTTGCAATCAACAGCTTTTCCCAATAAACAAGGGGTGCTTCCCACACTCTGGCGCACGATCCATGAGCCCTGCAAGATAACAACTGAAAAATCAATATCAATACCCAAGACAAAGTGAATGCATGGAAACAGTTTACAGAATTAGTAGGACAATATGAAACTAGATCAGGATGAGGGGAAAAGGTAGTTCAATATTTAAACTAAAAAGGCACAATTTTCCTCGTCATGGGAAATGAAATACTTAAATCTATAGATGTATAATTTCTACTCCTCCATTATATGTGTTCACAACTTCACATGCATGAGGCAGGAGTGGTTATGGCATCACAGTGTCTAAAAATTACACAAACACCAAACACTTCGTTGGACAAGGTCAATGAAAAATTACACAAGACAATGCTCAATGAAAAATTCCCTGTTGCCTCTCTTTTGAATCAGCATGCTTACCAACCCTATAATATTTGAATATTTGCAAATTTTTCTTTGAGTGGAGACAAAGCTGCATGTTCCAGATCAAGTGTGATATGTCCGTGTCAGATGCATACAAACGCCTCACGGAAAGTCAACCAAATCATAAAATAACTCCAACTTGTGACACGGCATCATAGTTAGCATACTTTTTCATTCAATACACAAATTGTTTGATAGATACCATTAAAAATCCCGCTTTCCATACAAACCTAGAAATATAACAAAAAAAATTGGGATAAAAACCTCAGACATAGAAAGAACCATTGCGCTACAAGTTTTAAAAAGTTTCCACTATGATAACATACTATATACTCTCTAAATGATCAACCTAACTTCTTTACTCCTATCAAACGCAATTTTTGCAATTTGAGAGCCCACGAGCATAGATTAACATAATCTAGTATTTCCCTGTGATATTAGTAAGGTTTTAGATAAATAACTTTTGTAAGATTTTTGAAAAATTATTTAGTAAAGCAAATGAAAGAAAAAGGCTAAGTCTATACATTGATATTTAACATAACATATTGAAGACTAGAACAAATAAATGTGGCCCTATTGTATCAAGTTTTGCTATCATCCACTAGCACAACAATTAATTTACTGATTCACGGGTGAAATTTTGGCAAGTTCCAAAACAACTGACTCCTAAAAAAAAGAGGGTAAATAAGGACAATTTCATATATATATGCAGAAGCAATGTACCAACCATGCCAATATTATACCAATAAATCCAGAAGTCTCTACCCGGGTTCTGGTATTGATATCATACCCGTATTCATCCGTTTCAGAATTTTTGCATCTTTCATTCCTTTGCATCAAATTTTTCATCGTACTCTTCATGAAATAAGTAACCATAAATTTTTGGGTCGGCCACAATAATCTTATTCCTCCTTCCATTAAATCTCCTCATCTATATTTAACTATGAATGGCATGGAGACCATAAGAAAAAACCTTGTGGTAGCCACCCATTTTGGTGCTTTAGTGGGCTCATCTACCAACCTAAAACTTAACAATAGCCATCCATGCTAGTGGCTACATCTAACAGCCTAAAACCAAACATGTCCAGTCCAAATTGCTGCCACCCCAGTAATGTACCAGGGGACAGCACATTACCCAAGTCCAGCCCACAAGACGATGGCCCAACTAGATGCAGTAAGATTAGCTAATGATTCAAACTAATCAGTGGAATACAACTAAAACTACTATTTCCACTGAAAGCAAACAATAGAAGTGAATATTAAAGAACACCTCTTTACAAGGTCCAAAGTGGCAAGAATGACACTGCAAAAATTGCCTCCTATCTAATAAAAGCCATCTCCAACAAATAAGCCTACACAATAAGATGTACATCAAAGAATAAAAGTATTACATGAATTTGATTGCTGTGTCAGTGTAGTTTTCATGTAAATGCCTTTAACTTTTAGACAATTCATGTTGATGATAAAAATCTAAAATTCTTGCTAAGAACACATCAGTTCTAACTTCTAAGATACTTTGATGTATTATTGCGAAAATACAAATCTTAATTCTCGCAGAAAATGTACAGGTTTGAATGTGTATAAACTATAAAACAAAGCAAGGAAGATGGCATAAAGATCCCTCAACAATTAGCTACTGAACCGCACAAATGCGACTTAGGAGTGAGGCTACTTCCACTTCTTGAGCTAAAAACCAGAGCATTCTTCCACAAAATTGAAAAAAACTGAGAGCGGATACCTTGGGAACAGATGGGATGAGCTTTAGTCTACTATTACGGAAGTCATCATCCCCATCAACAAAACGTTGCAAGAGAGATCCAGGTGCTAATTCCTTTGCCACAAAATAGAAAACCATGCTGTAGTGTGTCGATCCAGGTACCTTGAAAAAGACAATGTCATTCCTCTTCCAGACTCCAGATTCATCAAGTCTAAAATTAAAATCAGCTACAGAAAAACCTTACTTGCATATTTACCACCATGGAGAAAAGCCCTTTCTCTGAGGCTACCTATGCAAATAATAAACAAGGATCACAAATAGATCACGACTTATATATAAATGACTGACACATTAATCACATGAAAAGACTCCATATTTATTTACAATCTAAAAACGTGGAACAAATAAAACTCCGCCAATAAATGTCTGAGAGGCTAACAATTCCACAACCAGAAAGCAGACCTTTATCAGAAGAATTATAACCAGGTCTAGATGATTTTCTTTTTACTGGAGGTGGGGAGTTGGGAGGGATCATAATGTGGAAGGCCCCACAAAGACAAGAAGTAAACATGGAGACAGCCACACAAATAACAAGAATCAGAGAGCAAACAGAAAGAACTCAAGATCAGAGGAAAGGCACATTATATGTGTGAAACTGTGAATATAGAATGGGAGGACCCAAAAACAGGAAGCCAGTTTGTGCACAAGTTGCATGGTCTATTTTCTTTGGAAAAAGGCATGTACATCCCCACTTACATATTTTTCTGCATAACTTAAAAAATTGTCATTGAATCGAATTGGAATTCCTAAACTCGATTGCTAATTATGTTAACAAAGAGCACTAACAATATTGGACCCCACTCATGACCGTTCCTTCAAACAGAAACACAATTCTTGTGTTAAAAAAGGCATGTACATCCCAACTTGTATATTATTCTGCATAACTAAAAAAATTGAAATTGGCATGGAATTTCTATACTCCATTGGTAATCATGTTAACAACACTTCAGTATTTGATCCCATCCATGGCCATTCCTTTAAAAATAAACACAAGTCCACTCTCATGTGAGAAGATCCTGATATTGATAGAGAAGACAAGACATCAATTCCTTTTATCATCTCTGACCAATCCTCAAACCCTTCGGACCAAGATTGCCTACAGGAAAAGTTCCTTCAAACATGTACAAGTTAAAAGGAGCTCCAGTTAAATGAGTTCTCAGTTCTTGACCTTTGATTGTCTCAACTTTCAGGGCATGAAAACTCTCTATGCTTAACCTTCTGTGCCCTCTTGGATAGGGATGTAGGGAAGAAGTTAACCTTCAAAAATAATTAGGTTCTAAGTCTCCAACAGGCAACTGAATTCACTAGATGCCAGGTCCATGACGAATTGACAATATTTATTAGTAGCATTTGTATTAAGGTGCATGCACTCATTAAGCTCAAGGTCTAGAGAGGGCCCACAAATAGATTGAGGAAGAGAATTCACCCAGAGATCTCTAGTTGAGATGATTTGAGAAACACCCTTGTAGTAGAAACAGATATGAAGGCCCAATAAATACAAACATACTTACAAATTTCATATTTATACCCCCGATATGTATTTGATTAAAATTACCAGTCACCGAGTGAATATCCATTATCATGAATTCAATAGCGCCATAGCGGAGTTAGTCTTATTTACTAATTAATTAGGAAGCTCATCAATTGGTACACCATTGACCATGAGGAGGTTCTATTGAGCCAATTCAACTTTTCAAAAGCAATAGAAGTTGTATCAAATGAAAAATGAACCAAACACCTCAGGGAAAAAACAGGACGCAAAGTTGGTATGAATGCTTGGCAATATAATTTTGTAGCATAACATTATTTCTTTTTGGTTAAATTGCATAACATCACACCTCATTATGTCCAAACCAGGAAGTCACCCATTTATGCCCAACCATTAAATTTGCAAACTATGTTTCATCTTCTATCCCATTCTCAAATCAGAATACAGTTTTGCGGAGGATACTTCAATTAAGCTCATACCTAGACCAAACACAGGTCCTACCATGAGGCGCACAAGCATGATAAGAAAAAGGGGGAAATGTCATTCAGCAGCAAAGTTGTTTCCATAGCAAAATGCTTGATCATATTTTCTTAAAACAACCACAAATCAACAATCCCTTTGTGGTACAACTTATATGTATCACTTAAACCGTTGTTTAATATAGTTATTCGATGAGGTAACATTTGTGTCACAATGATATACATCTTTTTTTTCCGATAAGAAACAACAATTTTATTAATAAATAAAGGAAAAAATTACAAACCAATCCTAAGTGGACAAGCTATCCACCCGAAGATTGGATGCCAACCTTCATCGTGAAAAAAAAACACACACAGAACAAAAGTATAATGACAATAAAATAAAAAATACAATCCGCAAGAGGTTGTCCAACTTGCAATAATGCTAAAAGGCATATGTATCACTTAAACAATTGTTTAATATAGTTATTCAATGAACTAAAAGGCCAATGAGGCATCGTTTATTGCAAATATTATTTTCTAGTGATGTCTACTATTGTTCACTCACCCTTTATCTTAACCAAATCTTCAATTTTTATCTGAAAGTGGGAGTAAAATGACGAAGCAGCTACTCTTAAGGAAACAAAGAGAGCAGCAACATTAAAATAGAAATTCAATAACTTGAGACTAAATCAGATTGGCACCTAATTCCAAGTAGACTTGAGTAAGACAATAAATTGAACTAAACCACTCAAGATCACTGTTTTACATACCAAGAAAATTGAACTAAACTACTAGAAATCACTGTTTTACGTACAAAACAATTAACACTTGTCTATCAGAAAGCGAAAAAAAGTTTCAGATGGCATTAATTCACATTGTGATGGAATCTTGTGTGAATCATTTACAACACACAAGCATACACTGTGTAAAAAGTTGATTGGGTGTCAAAGTGTAGTATATTACCTCTATTACAGGTGCAGATGAAAGACATCATATATTCTTTTAGAACAAATTTTAAGAACCTACCCCACAACCAATGCTAAGAGATCAAGTTAAGCAAGCAAACATCTATTCACAATAACCCAAATCATTGTTCAGGTGTCCCTTCTAAAAAATACAAAGGAAAAAAAAAGGTAAGAAATTATGGTGTAACTAAAAAGGCAGGCAAAACAAAAAAGAACATTCCACTTGGAACCACTGAAGTTGAGCCCAGGGAGAAAGTAGGTGCAAACAAAATGTGTTCCGGTGCAATTAAGAGGAGGTTGATGGTGGTAATAGTTGCAATGATGCTGAAGAGGTTAGGAGGTAGGTGATAACATAGCAAAGTAACCACGTTAATCATGTCATATCAAGTTCAAAAGCTCCCAATTTATTTTAAGGACCATTGTTTGGCAAACTAGTAATATTAGGTATCCTCTCATAGCACCAGAGAATGTATGCACCAAACAGAAAACAATTCTGAAGGTGTTTTAAAGAAACGATGGACTGTAACAGAGAAGATCATAAGGAAAAAAAGAAAGAAACGCATAAGAAACGAAACTGTAGCTACCATACTTACTTGTGCCACACATCCATGGCGCCTAGCAACGTGGTCCATTCGTTTTGTGTCTTTGAACCAATCGACAGCAACAAGATCCATGAGATGCTTTCCTGCAGGAATCTTCAAATAGATATTCCAAGAATTGAATTAGTTCAAGTCTAACCAACCAATTGCTCCAAAAGACTTGAGACACACATCTACGGGTAACAAGCAAAATTTTAGGAACCTTTGATTTGTCATAACAAAAATCCTTGCTACGAACTCTAAAGTTGTTTCCATCAGATATCCTCCAGCAGTCACGACTATTATCACGGTCATCACGTCGAAGGTTACCCGAGAAACAGGACAAATCAATTTGACCCTCAGGTTCTTCTAGTACTGAAGAGCAATATAACAGTCACTTTGGTTCCAAATATCAAAAATGAATGCTGGGTAGATAAAATCAAAAACTTAGTCATCGCCTACCAGTTCTCATGACTTCACTCTCAAGGTTAGTTGGGCATGCCTGAAAATTTTTTGATGCACACTTAGATATATTACATAAAAACTGAGACAGCACGAGGGTAACACAAACCTCTTCACCGGCCATCTGAAACTCTTCATCCTCATCGGAGTATTCATCCATCATCACATTTTTGTTCGCAGAAATAATTTGATCGAGAGAAGGACTGCGATGGATAGAAGACTCTCGAAGCTTTTGATTCGTCTTAGAAGAAACAGAAGCTGATGACATATTAAGCATAACAGGGATTCTTGGAGGAGCCTTCCTTTCATCAGTCTGAGAGAAATATTCACGCAGTCCTGCAATAATAAGGAAACATAAGGACGTTTAGTATTATGGAAAAGAGACACAATTGAGATTGAAGAAATTGACTCCTACAACTCTGATAAATTATAAATGTGATAAAATCGCTATATCATGAAGCCACAGATGTAGTGAAATCAAAATCAGAAAAGAACAACATGATGAAACCGGGAAATTAGAATCCGATAGCAATCACTGAAAAAAACAAAGAAAGCAATGCAAATACGAAAAATAAAAGGACACAAGTACCACATAACGAATTCCTGAGCAAAATACGATGTTGCACCAAGATTATTTTTTTTAACTCCACCATCCCGAAAATATTGTTCCCCTGGACTTTGCCCATTATTTAAGGAAACCCATATATGAATTTAATACACCCTAATTGTGAGAGCTTTTTGAAAATTAATCAGTCGTAGATAATATAGTTGAAGAACATACTTGGAAACACAGCTATAAAGCACTTGTAGATAAATACCCACTGATTTTTTGAAGTGGACAGCTGTAGAGAGATCTGAAAAAGGAAACGGAAACTATTTTTCAAGACAAGGAGTAAATAAGTTTCAAATAACCTATCACATTCAGAATATTGAAGGAAGTTTTTCAGTTTTTTGTAGACGATAACCCGAGGAAAATGACAGAGGGTGGCTATTTCCACCCCAAAAATATGCATCCCCACCCTATTAAATTCATTAGTGTAAAACTACTAAGTTCACCCTATCTATATCCACCCCATATATAACTAAGTTCACCCCATTATATATCCATTCAGAAAACTTTTAAATATATCCTTTCCATCTCAACCCCAAACAATTCCACTCTCCATCTGTCTCCAAAAATCAGTTGCATTTAAACTAATTATCAGCATACCTTCAAATCAAAAAAAAAACATTGATGTCAAAGCAATAACTCAGGATACCATTCAAAACTTAAAATTTTATAATTTGGTCCAAAGAGAAGATCAACTCGGATCAGTACAACATTATGTATGATTTGAAGATAATATGATGTTCTCTTCTCCCAGGATACAGGGAATTCAACCCTTCATTTATTTTTCTATCCAAGAGATATTCTGTCATTTTGCGTAGAAATATCAACTGGAAAGATCATGAAAATTGAACCTAGGTCTTATAAACTGTTAGTGAGGTCAAAGCAATAATTGAGATCTAGTTGGTTTGCCCATCAGCTATCAGAGTCTAATATATTCTATAAAACAACTTGAAGTGGGTTTGTTTAGTGATAGGGGCATAATATGTTGGCCAAAAAGAAATTCTTGAGTGAGAATATATAGGGATACAAATAGTATATGTTTGGGGTGTATATAGTGGGGTGAACTTAGTAGATTGATATTAAAAAACATAATGGGGGTGGGGTTGAATTCTTTTGGGCGGGAATAGCCCCACCAAACGACAAGAAGTGTAGAACTGCTACATTGCTCTTCATGCTTCCATAATCAGCTAGTCTAGCTGCCTAATGCAACCCTTTCATCATCATATGTCCAAGGACCAGCGGTACCAAAACCAATGCAAGGCAAACCATTTTAGAACAAAAAAAACTGCGATGCTCCATCAGGTCAATAAAACTACAGAGAGAGAAAGGAAACTAATTTATATACAAATAATTATTTCACTACGCATCGGTGATACATTTACAATACTCATCTCTTTCCCTGCCTTATCAATAGAAAAGTTGAAAAGATAGAGATAGACACATACAGACAGAAAAAGGAATGTCCACAACAGGAAGAAAAAGAACATCCAGTACAACAGTATAAACATATGATAAATGATCCAAACTGCAACGACACTCCAAATTCTGACTATTATGAATCTAATATAAGAAACTCACCAGCAACACTATTTAACATCTGAAGCAGACAATGTTGCTGAAATGATGAAATATAACCCACACCCCATCCTTTCAAATCAATTTGCATAAGATGCTGCAACTGTGTTCTGGGCCTCCCATTCCGTGGTTTCAAAGGGGAAATATTAAACCCTCCACCTGAGAAAATCAGAAGAAGAAGATATTTGACCTATCAAATGTTTTCATATCCATCATTAAGCAGAGAAGAAACTATGGCATTTACTCTCAATATGCGCCCGCACAAACCCTGGTTGTGGACCACAGTTCTCGTGCTCCCTAGAACGAAACAAGACAACTGCACAATAACAAGGATTGGAAAAAAAAGACAATAATAAGCTGAATACTACCAAGTGAAAAGAAAATGGAACACCCTCACCATAACTTCCATCATCATTTCGGCGCCAATAGCGCACGTAACAAAGGTCACGGGGCCACACAAATCTGCAATATCAAGCATTAGTATATGGAGAGAGAGAGAGAGAGAAGTTACTATCAGTCAGGTTTAACCAAAAAGAAGATACAAAACCAAGTAACCTTCCTAGTCATTTAGTACTTAACAATTTGTACATTAAAAAGAATTTTAAAGCGCTGCAACATAATACATTTCGTTTTTCTTTCAAGAGAGCTGCAAAAAGCTAACACAATCTCAATCAAAGATACCAGCTGATTAATTGTCACTAACTATTGTGAACAATGGAAAACGTTCAAGAAGCTCTTCCAGGAAGACAACTAGGAGTGGAAGGATATTCAAAGTGCAGAGCAATAAATCACAAGTGTAAACAAACAATCAAAATTTTCTGAGGCCATCTTTAATAACTACAAAAAAAAAGTTTGCTTCGTCCATAAAACACTTAAAAACCGAATCCATTAAAGTTCCAATCTCCATGAAAAAAAAATGATAAAAGAAAATGAAATCACACGCACATGCCACAAATTTAAGCTAATAAAGCAGTCGAAAAGGGCAAAGACAGACTGCAACCCCTAATCCTGCATCACCCGACAAAGGCTGAAGTTATGCCTGACACGCACCATCAAGCACCCAAGTGTTTATTTCCCCCTTTTGCTTCAAGTGTAGATGATTCGAATGGCAAGCGAGATCGCAGGAATCATAGTGCTGGAAGAAATTCACATAGAGATCATTTGATGCTAACCTAACCCTTAAGGAGGCCTTGCCATAGTTGGGTGCTCTGCTTTAGTGTGATTGACGAAGGCTAGGCTAGGTTTGGCAATACCCAAAACAAATGAAAAGAGACCAGGATCGATAGTTGGCAAGGAACTTGATCCCCCCTTCCCCCCCCCCCCCCCAAACACACACAAACAAGGGGCAGCTGCAGTAGAACTTAATTCTGGAAAGAACTTGGGGGCCCTAAGGAAGGACGTTTAAGCTTGACGAATAAGATAGAAAGGGTTTTTCTCACTTGTTTAGTACAGCTTTGGCTTCGCCCAATCTTCCTGACGCGGAACCTACCGCAACTAAAAGAAAATGAATGAAGGAAGAAGGCATTAGCATTAGAAAGACTACATAGGCATTCCGGGCCAACTACAAGACTACGACTATAATAGATGTCACGAGGGATAACGAAGCCATATGCACAAAATTTTGAAGTAAGATGATGAAAACTAATTTAGGATAGAAAGACTTTGTTTTAACAGCTTTGACTTTTGATACTTTAGTCAAATCAACTTGAATTGTACAAAAACATCATTGGCAAGTATCAGATAATAATCAAAGCATAACCAAGCAAATCCATAGAATAGGCCGGAGCATTACATCGGGAACCAGTCCAGCTGAAGTCTGTGATAGAGTATCGCTGTATGTCCATCTACCTCCTCAACCAAGCTACCATACTGGAAACTACAATCCCACCTACACAAACCATAAACCAATAATCACCATGAATATTAAGAGATCAACCAAAGGGCAAGAAAACAAACCCAATCATCATGATTTCCCCAAAAAAAAGGCTTAAATTTCCCAGGAAATGGGGCACACAATGAAACCCAAAAGAGAACAAAAAAGAAAAGATGAGACAAAGTAACGATAAATTGAAAACAAATCATGCTACTAGTACTGAAATCATCTTTTGCTAAGGCTTCCCCTTGAAAATTGATGCGCATAGGACCTGTGCATGGAAAGCCTTCGCCGATGGAAGAAAACAATAACAATCTTCCTCATCTAATGCGGCAGATTCAAGCCCAGGTTTACATGCATAGCTCAAGAAATGAGCTTGGAGGAGTCACCCTTAAACAAGAGTTCCATAAAATCAAGCCCCCTGGCTGGCATCATGCCTCAACAAAGTATTTATAAGGGCTCAAATAGCATGAACTCATGAAATTGAGAATAATTCCAAAGAATTGGTGTATTCTATCCCGATCTTCTCACAGAAATCACCATTCGATTAGGAAAACAGTATGAAATTCAAATATCATTTCATTATCCAAAGCCAATGTCACTTCAATAATAAGTTGTGGAATGGTAGTTCTCCAGTAGTCATGCACCACCTTTTCTTTGGGGGGCTATTGTGGCAATCACCAGGACAAACAAACAACATCCTCCATTGAAACCCTTTAGGACATGCGTCATCGACGGGAGCATTCAAGAATTAATCACGAGAACCTCCTGCTGTAATATCTCTGCCCAGCACATGATTATGTCCAACATTAATGCTGTCCTCCAAGGTGCATCAGAGTTACTATTTTCAAAAAATAACACAACTGGTGCATTAACCAACAACTATTGAGACGGAGGCCATCGCCATCTCTCTCTTAATCTCCTGCAGCTACTGTTGCTACCACAATCTCCTGAGTCCTTAAGCCCTCTCCAGTACCTCTGTCTTAATTGCGAGCACACACCATAGTAATTGATGCCTTCCTAAGCCAGGAGGAAATCCCAGCCAGCTCCCACGCCCATAACTGAGGTTGTGGGTATGGCCTTTGGGTTGCATCACATTCTCTTCTGACATCTTTATATGTAGCTTAGTGGCTAAAATCAACGATTATCCAAGATGAACTCCCACCACAGGGTTATACCTAGCATTACACCCTCCATGCACACTGAGGTTAGAGGCTCTAAATCCCTGGTTGTTGCCACCATAAACATTTTTTAATAAAACACTAACAAATATCTTCACAACGATATAGCTGGCTGACCAATCCCCATTATCAAATATATATCATTGAGGAACTCAATAGCTAAGAGCATCCAGCATGAGTCTAACAAACAAAAGCTCATCAAGTAACTATCCACAGAGAGAGAATCAAAACATAAACATCTACTATCAAGGAAAATATTGGTCGATGCTGAATAGTACCTTACATGATAAAATATTTCCTATCATGTAACAACAAGCACCATGAATATGAACGTTAAACCTAGTACATAAAAATCGCAACTTGAAAGTACAAGAATTTACTCAAATCGTGCTGCGTCCATGCTCATAACAAGCTCAAATATTTCTTCACAAGTGGCCTCCACAACCCCTTCAGCTTTCATTGCTCTACTACAGCTCTTCGGCTGCATAGAAAAAATATTCATGATGGACGGCCCTGATACAACCTAATTCAGAGCCAAGATCAATTCTGAACATAACAGAAAATGATCCATACAAGAAAATCAACTTCAAGAAGCTCTTCAAAAATGCGAAGACCTGCATCCACATAACAAAATATTACTAACCCTGGTAGATGCCATCACATCATTGCCAGATACTGGATTATCCCATGTTGCCCATGAATAACTTAAAATGATTGTCATCCCTGTGTTAAATGGTGAAACAATATAAACAACTACAACTAACCATTTTGGCATTGAAGAAGACGCCAATGCTTTTTTGAAAATGCCTGGTTGTTGACATTCTGGTTTGCAAATTCAGAGTCAAAATCCTATGTCCAGTCAAACACAGAATCAGGAGGACCTGCCAGAGCAACAATGATGATTAAATTCAACCAAGGATTACAAACCAAATAATCAGAAGCTAAAAAGAGGCTGAATCCAAAAAACAACCATTTCCAATTGTTGTTCTACGTAATAAATCTTGATGAGAATCATCTTCATCCTCTGGGGCACTAAACCTAAAGAAATTCAGAAAAAAAAAAAAAAAAACAAAGTTGCACATTCAGGTGATTTATGGAAATAAATATCAGCAGCCAAAAAAAAAGTAATTCTGAGCAATACAACCGGAAATGCTTGAAAGAAGCAGGAGTCAAAATTTGTACTGCGACAGAAAAGTATATCTTACAGTAAGCCTAGAAAATAATCCTCCACAGTACAAACAAAAATGCTGAGGAGAAGCAATGTACACCAATGAAAAGGAAACAGTAAAAAGGCAACAATCTTTTATAGCCTGCATGTGTCGAGTAGACTAAAAAATTAAAAACAAAGAATATACTGACAATCGGCAATAGCATGAGGAAACCAAAACACTAGTTATGATACTAATTAATGAACAACAATCTCTATGCAGCATCTAACCGTGGATCATATTTCGCCACAATCTTCATGCCTTGTTATTCACCAGAAAAAAATAATGATACAAGGAGGGCAGAAGACAGAAATTTTTTTTTTTTTTTGGGGGGGAGGGAGCGGCTGTTTCTGGTCTATCAGGTAATTTTAATCTGTCACTGATTCCTTCCATATTTGTTGCCACTTGAACAAACCAAAATTCAAAAAAAAAAAAAAAAACTGACAGGAGGTGGAGAGAATAACCACCTACATAGAACATACACAACATAATGTTATAACCACGCACACTGATGTGAGTTGTTTGTTTTGTTGGGATGTGAAGTTTGGACATTTTGTCCACCCACCCTTTATTCTATCATGTTGTCATCAATAAAATGATGCAACAGCTCCAAAAAGATGAGAATTAAACAGCGCATATTTCAGCCACAAAGTAGGAAGCCCCATCTGACGAAAGATTCATTCACCTTCACATCTCTAACATAAAACGCACAATTCATTCCAAGAGAACTTATTACTGCAAATGCCAGAGTTGAACACCAGCAAAGCATTTTCTATTCTGCCCCCTCCAACTACGATAAAACACTTTAGACCCAGGAGAACCTTAAATTCACCTTTCTCAAATGCAAGGCAGAAATCTTAACCCCCTTCTTCGTGGAAAATGCACCTTTCAACTAAAAAAAATGATGTTGAAAGAGAAATGACAAATTCCTTCAATCTCTCCAAATGGCCTTCATGGCAGTATCCTAGCACCAACATCACCAAATCAACAAACAGAACCCAAAAAATCATCAATCCAAGCAGCCAAAATATTGGCTTCACTCATCCCACAGAAAAGATTCATCACACTGGAACACAACCAACCTCAGGAATGCTGTGGAGATAGGCTGATGCCGTAAAATTCTCCAACTCCACAGATAGCAGGAAACCATGCACTCGAATTTCATGTTCTCAGCTTGATTGTTAGGAAGACGAAAAGCATCCACACCTAAAAGTCAGACATTCAATTGCCACCTGAAGATTCTTCTTCTTGAACCAGATCACAACAGTCTATCATCTTTTTCCTTAGATGGAATCTGGACAACAAAAGTCATCAAGTAATTTCAATACCTAAATTAAAAACTAACCATGCCTTAGTCAATCCCCCAACAACCCTGATGCACTCCTGAATGAGCTTAGAAACAACCCACTGAGTATAAAAAAGCAATCCAAATGCAGCACACATTTACTGCAACCCTGTCCAAGGGGACAGCACAAAAACCGCAGCTCCATAACTTTGCTACTGCACAAGTTTAGTGAGACATAGCACTCCTTGTCATTGGCCTGCCATGCTCAGACGACTGTAACATGCTTCCATCATCTTTCATGCTTTGGAACCCTTGACAGCCCTCACTGTTTCAAGCAAAACACCCTAGAGCCTACTAACCCTCTACTTGTCCTCTATCTCCCCTCAATTGATTTCTAGTAAGCAGATATGTGGTAAATTACTTCAAGCCATTTCCAGCAAGAAGCCAAATATGATTGAAGCCAACAAGTCACCCCAAACCCAAGGGCAATATTATCAACCTTCATCAAAGACGTATTTTTAGCAGGACTAAAGAAGGGCCAGTGGCCAGAAGCACTCAAGTATTCCAATGTCATGAGAAGAAAACACAGACAATGTATATAATCTTCAAGACGAGCATCAACCCATTGACCAAAAAATACAAAATAAATGAGTGAACTAGATACTTACTGACTTTCGTGATCGGATGAGGAAGCATTTCCTCCATTATCCATCCCAGATTTATATTCAAAAGAATGGTATTTATTACCATTAGCAGCTAGTGACTCCTGATGCTGCGCATCATCAACATGTCATCAGTTCCAAGGGAATTCACCCACACAACTAGGAAAATTTAGACTATATTATACAAAGGATACAGAACATAAGCTGCCAGGTTAGTTAGATGTATAAAAATTTGGAAAAGAAACCACAAGAGAACTGAATAACCATTATAATTCACCACAAATGTTTCTGCCAAGACTAACATAATGTCAGGTAAAAAGGGTATATCAATGAAAATCATGAACAGATACAAAGGGCAGCGGCAGGTGGGGGCTGGTTATTTCATGCAGTCTGATATAACAGACCTGATCAATGATTGATTCAATTTTTTCTTTCCAGATTAGTGCCTCCTGGATATTGAATGCTGCCATCTGAAACAAAAACACAAGAATGGATAATTAGTTTTCCACCAAGCTACAAGTGGCACCACATATTTAGAAATAAAGCTAGCCTAAAATACCCCAGTAGACAGTTATATGTCATTAATTCCCCAGAATTGCACAATAATATCAGAAAACACAAATATCCTGAAATGCACTGATTCACATGTGTTCATTAATATATGCACATCTCTTTACTGAGATCACTATAAGCAAGCGAGTTACGTGCAAGGGTTTATGGTTGATAAGTTTTCCAGGATCAGCAGAGAAGAAGTGTGGGTCATTAATTTTCCACTCTTATAGTTAAGTTGCACCATGGACGAAATCCTATCTTTCGGGCTAGGCTAGTTACAGCTATATTCCTATTCAAATAAAGCAAGTGGATCATAGTGAAAGTGCTGCAGAGAAAACTCCTTTCTTTCCGTCAAGAGTTGCCCTTTTTCCCCCAAAAAGGATTTATACATTGCCAAATAAAAATATTCATTCCCACAAATAACTTGATCTTACGGTCCATTAAATTCAGCACTGGCATCGTGATCTGTACAGCACTTTTAATGCCTACTATATGCAATAATACGCTTGTTTCGGAAAGGTGCTGTCCTTGTTCATGAGATATCTATTCAAACAATGCATGATGTAGCCTATAAACTATGCTTACAGAGGTACCAATAGTGAGACTAATCTAGCTTATTGAACCAAAAAATGCAAGTCAAAAAAATTCTCACTGAGGTACCAATACTGAGATTGATCTAGATGCTGCCTCATTCCAGAAGAACTGCCATATGTTATGCACACCAAAAGCAACCTTAAACCTAGACAATCATTGCATCACAAAATAGGACTTGATCAACGGCAAAATCCCTCAAGGGTAGCCATCACACAACATTAACTTAGACAATTTTGGGTGCTATAAGGGTGACAGGGACACTACCCATCCTCATGCCTAAAGCAAAAGCTTTTACCATAACACTAGCATAATAAAAACCAACCTTCTTTCCAGTAGTAAAACTAAAACAAGAAAGAGAAAGACAACAGCATAGAACATATACAAACAATTTGATTTTCCAAGCAATAAATGTGTGCACAAAAAGATTTAACAGAATAAACTTAAGCATAAGATGTACATTAAACTTAAGGAAAGTATGGCAAAACTCACGCACCGTAATTCGATGGTACTTCTCTTTCTTGTTGTAAACAGACAAAACATAAACCATCTGTAAAAGTACAAAAAAAAAAAAAAAAAACAGTTAAAAACAGAAGCCAACAAGAGAGAACATTGTACAAGATGATCCATCATCGAGAAGGAAATATTGTAGCAAGCCACAAAACCACAATTGCCAGCTAACATATGGAAAACTCACATAAGGAAAAAATCACTTTGCATGCACGGACACGAGTATTGTGTGTGTGTGTGAGTGCGCGCAAGAGAGAGAGAGTGAGGGACAGATGGATGGACGGACGCAGGAGGGAGGGAGATCAGGGTTGTGAAGCCAAAAGTTGGAACATGCTGGTGTCGTTTGCATGTTTGCCCATATTATAACAGCCAAAATTTTACTTACCCAAAATATAGCACATCATGGACAATAATAACATTAAATAAGACACATGGCAAAATAAAAAGTCCATTTGAAACAACTTTCAGAATGTGTTATCAGGCAAAAGAAGAGTCAAGTGATGCAATTTAAAAGTCGACTATCAAGCAAAACTTATGCAAGAATTACACTAGGTATAAAATTTCCATTATTTGACTTACTACCATGGACAGGACCTACCTTAAGGCCCAGGGGTACCATGGGCCCCCTCAACTTTTCAAAGAAAACCCTACA